AATATATCTAAGGAATTATACAGTTCTTGTAATCAGCCTGTGCAATGATCATACTAGTTAGAAATGTGGAGTAACAGGAAGGATTTGCAAAACATACAATGCCAAATCCACATGAATTAAACTTTGCAACTTATTTTCTAGAACTCATGAGAACATAACCACACCTCATTTTCAGATTTCATTCCGAATACTTGTGTTGAATATGAATATTGTATCAGGTTAAGCAACTGGAAGAACATGCAAACAAGTGAGAACAGAGGTTTTCAAGCACACCTTGTGTCCTTCTGTTCAATCCTCTTTTCTTTCATTATGTCTTTGACACACTTCTCCACTTCAGTTTCTTCAACATGTACAGCATTTCTTAAAACCTAGGCAGTTAACACAGTAAAGGACTTCATGAGGAATGAAGACATCATCTATTATTATTGCTTAGCTTCTGTATATTTGTTGTGTGTATTATTTACTATAAGAGGAAAAGGGTCAGTTTAAGGCAAATGCTTACAATGCACTGGCTCAAACTGCATAAAAACGATCAGGAATAATTACATGAAAGCATGAGTTGTACTTTGTCAGGCTGTAAACAATGTTTACATAGGAGTTGCAAAAAGAATAAATACAAAGCTGGAGAGTCGCTTGGTCTAGGTTCTTGTTTGCTTTCAGCTGCTGAATTGAAATTTGTTCTTCCTAATCCAACTGAAACAAGTGCAGCCAAGAAAATTCTTCAGAATTAGGAGACAAGTAGCTGTCAAAGCTGAGATTTCAATGATATAAATGTTTGAAAGGACATTGGATTATTTTTGAGAAACTTTAAATAAACCTAACACACAACACAAAATTCCAAGTTTTCTTCTCTCTGTCCTTTACTCCTCGACAGTTTGTCCCTCTCAAAAAGTAAATGCATGTCTTATTTTTCTGAGATCTGTCTCTGAAAAAAGGTTTTATTACAGTTTCACCTCTAGTAACTCTTACCTTATTTTTTGATGCTTCCAGTGAATGTTCTGCAATATGGAAAAAAAAGTAGATTTCACTGTTAATTTGAACTGTTTTAAATAATTGTCAGTATGTAAGTATCTTGAGTGTGTATTATGAAATTTTACATCCCTTTTATACATGTAATAAAAATTAATCAATCTTTCAATGAACAGTTTATCAGGTAAGAGAATGTCTTAATTTACACAGATCTTTTTATAACTCTTCAGTACAATGCTGAAAGTAGATTTGGATTTTTTAAAGCATCAATTACATGTATAAAACAAAGACAAATTTGAAAAGGTGTCAGGAGAGAAATACATCAGTTGATATTTTCCTGTTCTCAGACAGTATTTCATGTTTATTACTGAAGAATAAGAAAGTATGGTCACTTCTGCAATTTACTGTAAAACCACACAAATGTTAAGTAGTTTCTTGAATTGCTATTTTAGATCAGAATTCTACATTGAGCAGCACTTTAAGTTAAATCACTCCTCCTTCCTCACATCTAAAAAATGCATTTATGTCTATTCAATGTGAATTTTTTTAGTAAAGGAAGGTAACAGCATATACACAAAGTGATGGGAAGACTCTTGGGGAGAAGGCATGATTTACTTTTTGACGACACTGGAATTTCCTTAGTAAGTAGATAAGGAAATTAGTTCTGGCATTGATTTAGAATTCTCATAGGAGAGCGGTGATGAAAGGAAGAGTGAAAGTACAATTCTGGGGATGCATGCCAGGTACTGGTTTCCAGTAAGAAAGCAAGAGGCTCAGGGGGGACGTGATCGCTGCCCACAGCCCCTGGAAAGGAGGCGTGGGCAGGAGGGGTCGGTCCCTTCTCCAGGTGACCAGCGACAGGAGAGGAACGTCCTCAGGTTGTGCCGGGGAGGTTTAGGTTGGCTACACGGGGAAATGTCACCACCGAAAGGGCTGCCAAGCACTGAACAGGCTGCTCAGGAGAGCAGGTCAGTCACCACCATTCCGCAGGGATTTAAAGGATGCGCGGACGTGGCACTGGGAGGCACGGTTCAGTGGTGCCGGGTACACGGCTGGAACCGATGATGCTGGAGGTCCTTCCCGCACTAAAGGCTCCTGTGAGTGCTGGAACCGATGATGCTGGAGGTCCTTCCCGCACTAAAGGCTCCTGTGAGTGCTGGAACCGATGATGCTGGAGGTCTTTCCCAGGCTAAAGCATCCCGTGGCCGCCGCTGTCCACGGCGCTGCCGCGGCCCCGGCCCCTCCATTACCTACGCTCAGCGTGCGCAGCGCGCCCGCCTCCGCGCCGCCCAGGAGGCGCTGCAGCTCGCACTTGCCGGTCAGCAGCCGCAGGACCCACTTCAGCCAGAGCCGAAGGAAGCTGTTGTACAGGAACCCCCACACCTGCGCCCACATCTTCCGCGGGCGGCCGGCGGGGCCCGAGCCCGGCCCGGCCCCTCGCGGCCGGCAGCGAGCGGGGCCCGGCCCGCCCGCCGGCTGCCAGCGCCCGACCTGGAAGTGACGGCGGCGGAAGCGCCGGCTGGGAGCCGCCTTCCCTTTCCCGGTGGCCCCTGTGGGCTCCGTGTTCCCTGCCGCCTCGCTCCTGCCCGCCGGGCCGGCAGCGCTGCCGCTGCTGCCCGCAGGGGCAGGCCGATGGCCCGGCGTGCAACGAGCGGGAGCGAGGGACGCCCGAGAGCATCCGTGCGCTGAGGAGCAGCGAGCGCCCGCGCAGAGCTGCACCGTCCTGAGGCGCTGCAGCCATCGGAACGTTTTCCTGTTTTAGCAAACAGAGGGATTGGTGTTCATTAGTTACAAGTCATGTGGTTCTCTTATTAATCAGTATTCTGTCTTCTGCTGGTTAATGGTTCTTTCACCTCTCGTGCTACTGAATCCCATGCTCAGTCTCTCTCCCTTCTGGCTGTGGGTTTTTGTGTCGGTGCTCTGTGAGCTGTCGGGATCTGTCCCTGCCGGAATTACCCGTTACCCAGTGGGAGCCGATTTCAGCACATTTACTGAGCTGTCTTCATTTGTTTCTTCCTTATCTTGGGAGTTCTGCCAGATGTCCTTGTGGCCCCTGAATTCCACATTTTTGGTGTGCACTACGGGACATCCACTTTGTCCACAGTGGTGCATCCTTCTTCCCAAGGAGAAGAAAGAATTAGCCTCTTCTGGGAATGAAAGCATTGGAGACTGTCCTGCCCTAAACTTTAACAAGACAATTCTACCAAAAAATAATTTTTGGTAAAACACCGAGACATCACCTAGAGCTTGTTGGGTGCTCTCTGTTTCATGAGTTAAATCTCTTGTAATACACCAAGGGATACTCTTTCTTAAAAAATGTTTACATATTCTACATCTTGCAACAGTTGGGTTAGACAATTTTTGGGAGTATGTTGCCACATATCTTGCCTTGCCTTTGCTGAATGGAGGTTCAGCCTGAATGTTCTATTTAGTTTCAGTCACTAGTTCCATTGTATTATAATTGATGCTTTAGTAAACATGGGTTGAACATAGAATTGTATGCAAAATTTGGACTGTTGCAAGGGAGCTGGCAGACTTGCTTGACTGCATTCTGATATATATTTTTGGTGTGTGGAAATTGAAGTAACTTCTACACTAAATCAAAAGCCATACAGCACGTCTGATGGCCTATGTCCCACAGAGGATTTTAGAGCATGGACCAACTTGTTTGGCATCCTCTCTCTGGGCTCCTACACTCATAGGGGTGCATAGTTTTATGTGGGGAAACTAGTGATGTGTGAACTTCAATTGTTTGCATATCTTATTCCTACACTTATAAACTGTGAGGAGAGGGGTGCATGTTGCATATTAAGATGCAATGCAACAGCCTAGTGAGCAATCTGACTTTCAAAGCATTGGAGCATTGTGTGAAAATAAGCTTGGAAGTATTTATCTCTATTTAAAAGTATTCTTACTTGTTGACAAGATGATATGATGATTTTATCATATTACCTGTATATAAGTTGTTCCAAGGCAACCAACCCCAGGAAATATGTATTTTAAAAAATAAAAGATCCAGTACCTAAGAACTGGTTACAGAAACTGGAGGAAAGAAAATTGTCTGTATTCCAGGACCTGGGTATAAACTATAACTCCCACCTAGTTTGTGTATGAAACAACTCTGAGCAAATACTCAGGGAAAGATTGTGCTATACCTCCCATCTGACAACTTGGCAGTGCACTGCTGCTGTGATATTTAAACACAGCTGGGCTGAAATCATCTTGTCAGAGGAGTCCTGGCTACACCAGCAGCTGAAGGGTATTAGTTTGATATTGGGAAGGCAGAAGAATTGCAATAATGTGAACAAATGTAAGAGTGATCAGGTCCTTCCTGATGGTCTTTATGCCCACGCATGGATTTCACTGAGGTAGTTAATTAAAAGTATGAGCTACTGAAATTTTAGGAACTCCAGCAGGTGCATCCTTAAAGTGTGGGTCTGCGCAAATAACACAGGGAAATTTCTAGCTGATGAGACTTATGTTGATTTTTTAATACCAAAATTAAAGCGTGCTGCTGCTTCAAGGGTTGCACTTTCCATGGGATCTTTTAAGGGATTAAATAGCTTCATACCAATATTAATATTTTTTCATTATATTTATACTTAAACAGAAATTACATTTTGTGTGGAATGTTAAGAACCAAAGTAACTTTTACTACAAGTTTTGGAATTTGTTCCACTTTCTATTGTGATTTACTGTAACAATACATACACAGAGTATGGGATTATTGTTTTATCAGTTTTCTTTTCTTCCAGTCTCCAGGACTGATGTGTAGAATATCTGGTGTTGACAGTGCATTGTACAACACTTCTCTGTGATACAATTAGATTTGTTGAGGCAAGCTTGACAGATTTTAAGGTCATGGTTTAAATTAAGCACTTCTGAAATGTGAGTTTAAAAGACACAAATTTTAGTCTTACACTTATTTTTGCTCATATGATGTTTACTTCACTTTAAATCTGTATTTTAAAGTAAAATATGTAACAAATTAATTATTTAAAAAATTATAGCATGCTTTTTTGACAGTTTTTTCACAGCTTTTTGTAAATTGCAAGACAGCAAGCATGTTTAATTTTGTACAAATATTAGCATTTGAATCATGCAAGATGCTTCTGTATCATCATGTGCAGTCAATTAATAAATCATATTAAGATAGTCAAAAATACCATGCAGTAGCTTAAAAAAAAAAGTCCACCTTCCTCTTGTGTTCAGTATTTGCCTTCAAGTTGTACCTTCACAGAGACTTTGGTTGAAGTTTACTTTTTTAAATCCCATTTCTTGGGTGACCAGCAGGGCAAATAACCAGCATGATCTCTTTCTAGTCAGAAAATTTTCCATGGCAGCAGCTATTATGTATTATTACTGGTAGTTATTCTTTGTTTCTATACCTTTGCAGATGAAGGACATGGAAAATAATCTACTGCTTGGCTCAGCCCGAAGCCTGTATTATGTCAAATATTTATTTTAATGTTTATTTTCTCTAGCCTTGCTTACACACGGATGTGTGAAAACAGTATAAAAATGTGAAGCAATCGTCTGAACAAGGAGAGACATTCACTTCCAAAGCACAAGGACAAGCTTTGGAACTCTTTCTTGCACGTAAGGAGAACCAGTCCACTGAATCACTTTCTCAGTGTTAAGCATTACAGGTCACTCAGCAACGTGTTCTTCTATAGAGTCTTTTTCAAGATGATCAGTTTGCAAAAAATGCATAAAGTCTGCTGATGGGAAGTAAAACTGCTCTGAAACAATTAACACCTCCCAAAACCCCCAGCACAATTTATTCCAGTTATACACAATTCTTGGGCATGTGAAATAACACATGAAGACAGCCCTGGGAGGGAGATACTGTGAAAACATGAAGCAGATAAGGGACCCTCTTTGCAAGTAAGTCCAAGTGCAGTGGAAGCTCATGACAGTTTCAGTCATGAGATTTTTGATTTTTTTTTTTTTTTTTAAGGAACACTTAATGCACTACCTCATTGCAAGTTAACAAACTAGTCTGTGAAGTGAGCATCAAGTAAATGGTCACCACAATTTAGTATGGCTGAGTAACTGTATCTGGTGCCTTAAAATAACATCAAATGCAAGTCAATGGCAGTCTCTATGGACATTCCCCCATACTGTGTCAGTTTGTTACTAGTTTCTGGAAATATGTGATAGTTTTGTCTTTTTTTTTTTTTCTTTATTCTCTCTGAACATAAGCTAAACTTAAATGTGTGTTAGATTTCTGTTAATCTTATCTTCAGCAGCCTTCCTGCTAGACCACATCATTTTCATGTTTGCTTTGGCTCTATTACAGATAGAACACAATAAAGACATTTTATTTTTTACTTGGGGGGTATTTAATGCTTGTTTGTTCCTCATAGTTCTAAATATTTTACTGCAAATGTGCCAAAATCTGCATTGACCCTCCATCAAAATTACTGCCCTGAGCGTCTACTTTATTAACTAGGAGAGGGAAATGGTGATGGGGAGGCAGTAGGAGAAGAGGATTGTGTCATGATTGCATTGCATCTTATTACCCAATTATAAATGTGTATCCAAAGTGTAGCTTAAAGAAGATTTCTCAGTAAAATATTTCAAAGGCACAGAAACAGAAGGTAGAGGGAAGTTCATAACAAATGAGTATAGGACAGGAATAGTGAGGTTTAACCCAAGGCTTCACAGTAATTCATGGAGCCACACTGAGATTTTTAGTTCATGTGTGTACTGATGCATGCTACTAGCAGTCTCCTGCATTTTTAATGAATAATAACATTTATAATTCAAATTAATTAGTAAACAGAGATATAAACCCATCCATATTGTAATTCAAACACAGAAAGGTCATGCTAACCTTGCCAGAGCAGCAACAGACAATTTGTGGGGTCTAAAATTTCCAAAACGGACATAGTTATATTGTTGTTAGTATAAAGAGTGGCACATAAAGGCAGCATTGACATTAGGACTCCAGCACACCTCTGTCTGGACACAACTATTACAGGATTTGGCATTGCTTTGCACCACACCATTCATTTTGCACACAAAATAATTTGGGGTTTTGGAACAAAATGAGGTAAATTGTTCAGTAAGCAAATAGAGAAAAGAAAGGAAGAGATACTGTATTAATAATACAAGCATATTTTTAGGAAAAAAATTATCTAAATTACTATGTCCTCTGGGTAAATAAGCTAATGAATTATATATGCTAGTAAGACATTAGGGAAGTAGATAACAGTTTAGATAGCAAAAAGCTTACTGCTTTTGAGAGCTACCCAAGGCCAATCTGATTTCTGAAGCTGTCCTTTGCATGTTTGGAACACAACGGGAAAGCATATCATAGTTGTAGAATGAAAGGTAGATTTGTGAGAAGATAGAGAATATGTCAAAGCAAAAGCCACTAAATACCTGCTAATCCAGTACAAGGAGGAACATTTTTGCTTATAAAATGTAGACGGTTCTATTAGAACTGTTGCTGTAAGTGGTTCCAGGAACCTTGGTAAATAAGGTATCTGTTCCCTTTATAAACTATGTTGTAGAAGATGTATTCTAAACATCTACTTTTTGGCTTCTTATGGATTACTGAAGACCTAAAAAGGCAACAGGCTTTTGTGTCTAAATGGAAAGGCACATGTGAAGCAAGGTACAGTGACTGAAGTACAATACTGTTATCAGGGTAGAGGTACCAGTGTACCATTAGTCTTTGATCAGGTTAGATTTTGCAGCTGCTTGCCCTCCTTTCTCTTAAAAGGTGAACTGAAAAGCTTGGATTATTTACCTGATTCTGTGACTGTGCTAAACGTGTGTATTAACTGTACACAGCTTGGCTTCCTGATACAATCTTACAAGCAATATGCAAACAAATGCCCCATTGGTTTTGAATGAGCAAAATAATGTTCATCATTACAGTGTTGAGCAGAAAAAAATTCACATCACAGAGGCTTATGTCCAAAAAGGAGGCAGAGGAGTCCTGCAACTTTATGCAAGAACAAAGGGAGAGGCCATGAGGCATTTCCCATGGGGTCTCTCAAATTCTTGGAGGACACAGCCTCATCAACCTCTTTCTTTCTCCACTGGCTGAGGTACTTGAAAGGTATAGACTTCCCGATTCACCTACTACACATCTCCCTTAATATGCACACACACAAAAGCACGCACCACCCCTTGCATAGGATAGTTCTATCAATTCTTTATTCTTTTTCTCGAAGTTCAGGAATTAAGCGTGACTTTGGCTGAGCAGTAGTCCCTGTCAATTAGTAATATTTTCTGAAACTGGTAGTCTCTCTCGTTACTTCCTTACGTACAAGTCTCTGGCTCCACCTACACAGCACCTGTTTGTAAAGACACATCCATCTTATTCCTTTCAATGTTATGACTTGGGCTAAACAGCACCTGCCCAAGTGCCGGGACGTTTTTGTCGTGAACAGTCTCTACTTGCCCCAGTCAATAAGGGGTCTTTCGGTGTGGGTCCGTGCGTCGGGAAAGCTGAGGGCAGAGGCGTGCTCTGCCAGGGCTTTCACAGCGGGAATTGGCGTGGGCACTTGTTCACGGGGCTGGTGTCCGCCGGGGGAAAGCCGGGCGGCAGGAGCGGCGGGTGTCCCCGCGCACTGTGCGCGTCCCTCCCGACGCTCCGCACTCCTCGGGAGCGCCGATGCGCAGCGGGCGGGCGGGCGGCCCCGCCGGGCGATCAGCGGGGCGGGCTGTGCGCAGGGATGGGAGGGGCGGGCGGGGCAGCGCGGCCACAGCACGCCCGGCCCGCCTTGCCTTGCCTTGCCTTGCCTTGCCTTGCCTTGCCGCTGCCCGGGCGGAGGCGGCGGCGGTGCGCGGCTCTTGCGGGCAGCGCCCGCGGGAGATGCGGCTGCGGCTCGGGCAGGTGCTGCCGGCGCTGTGCCTCGGCGCCGCCTTCCCCCTGCTGTGGTTCGCGGTGTGGCAGGGAAGCCGAGGTGAGAGTGGGCGGCGGGGGCGCCCCGTCCCGTCCCGTCCCGTCCCGTCCCGTCCCGTCCCGTCCCGTCCCGTCCCGTCGTGCGGGCACCTGCCGTGCCCCTCTGTCCGGGCCGTCGGGGCAGCGCGGCGCCGGCTCCCGCTCCGCTGCGCTCGCCCGGAGCCGCGCCCGACGGTACCGGGGGCACCGGGGCCGCCCCGTCCCTCCCTCCGTGCCCGGGCTCCGTCCCTCCGTGCGGCGCCGAGCCCGGGCACGGCACGGCACGGCCAGGGTTGCGATGGGCAGCGCGGCTGGTGACCGCATCCCCTCCCGGCGCTGCGGACCCGCGTGCTGGGGAAATAAGGAACGCGTGTGCCCCCGAAGCTTGGCCGCGTATGAGGCTGGGCATGCGGGTCTCGCCTCTTCTCCCGGGGTCGTGGCTTAACTGCGCCCCGACACAGCCTTGAGAAACAGCTTGCAGGGTTGGATCCTTGGGCCATACTTGCCCTATTAAAAATACAACCCTGAGTTTAAGGAACAATGAAAGTTTCTTCTTTTTTCCCTTTTATTTTTTTCAGCTCTTTTTCTAACAAGCATCTTGCATTAAGATGGAAAGAAAAATCTAAACGTGATTGGTGTGGCTGTCGCTTTTAAAGTGGGTTTGGTTTTATTGTTGAGGAGGATATAGTAGCATTATCCATCCTGCAATTGTATTTGCAATTGTATTTGTGCCTCACGTACAGTCACTATTTTCCCTGTGCATATTTCCAGAACTGGAATGCAGAGAAAAAAAAAATACTTTATTTCTAAACTTTAAAATTGTACACTATCTTTTTAGTAGGTTATGTTGGTGGCACATGCCACCTAGATAAAGCCATGTCTAAGATTCTCTGAGCCAATATAGGAAAGATAAAACGGATGGTATTTTCCAAAAAGAAATGAGAAGGTCTTTCCAAATAGTATCTCTGAGACTTGCAGACATGGCTTGTTATGGCTGAGGAGGTGGTTGATTTGGGGTGAGGGAAAGAGAGTGGATCTTGGAATGCTTCCTACGTGCACCTTTATAATAGGTTTGGTTTTATAGGTGCAGAAGAATTAGAATAAACCACTTAGTAATTTCTGGGATGAACACAACTCCAGCTAGCAGATAATTTGTTTGTATTAATTATTACTGTAACAAATAAAAGTGGTGGTAGAGATCTTCAATGGCACATTGAATAGAGTCAAGGCAATGCTGATCCTCCTGCCTTTTAGGTCAACTATATGATTGTTTACTGTATAACATTTTATGTTTCCTGCAGTGTCACTCTTGCTACGAGTGAGGTAGGAAAACGAGGAAAAATCTTGGGAGACTGAGATCCAAGAGATGTCAGAATGAAAACGTTTGTCCAATCTGCAGTTACCATTGTGTTGTCTTGTGGTTCATGTTTTGAGGCTCCTCATTACTGACATTACATTTTCATTTCGCTTTCTTTTTGACATGGCTCTGATGACATTCCATACTGGGCTGTTTTGCTTTGGGATTTTATTTGTTTGTGTTTTGTTTGTTTGTTTTGGGCAAGAAGGATAACATATGTTGTGGTGTGTATGTGTTGTCTTAACTTCTTTGTCCACAGTTGGTTCCTCCTCCACAGTAAACTGAGTAACTAATTCCTCTCAGATGGTGTAATTTGCCTAATTACTATTATTTGCACCTGGTTTTTGCATTAATTGCGTCTGTGAATATGTAGTCTTTAGACTCTCCTAAGCTTAGTGAATCTCAGAAATGTGTAAATAAAATAGTTAATATTGGTAACTAAAGGAGAAAGTAGCAGTACTGAATGATTTTGTATTATATTTATTTTACTGAAAATATAGTCTTTGCTCCCAAGGGGTGGTAGAAGACAAGCCTTCTACCCATCCAGAAAACCTTAAGAACCGCAGCCATAGGTAACAATAAGAAACACCTTTTTCTACAGAGAGAGAAGCATTGGGAGCAAACCCAATACTGGTCACAGGGTATTTGTTTAAGAAAATGGTTTTAAATAAATATTTAAATAAATATTTTGCTCTGAAAACAGGCAGATATCTCTTTAGATGTTGTTAAACCTCTGTTTTTTTTCTTCTGCACTGCTGAATTTGCTATCCATTGTCATGCTTAGAGCGCTACAAGAGTTTCCACTTTGGTGCCTCTCAAACTACGATGTCTATTTTCTTTTCTAATGCCCTTTCCACTTAGCCCACCAGTTACTGTGAGTACTGTTGCAGCTTGTTAACTCTCTCCCATCTCTTTCCCTCATTTGTCAAACGTTTTCTGGCTCATTTTCTTCCATACATTTGTTAAATCTCCCCTAACTTTTGTTAACTTCTCTGCTCTGCCCATTGAAACGTTTAGGCTGCTCTTGATTTTTTGACTACAGTCTATCACGCTAAGCAGCAGTAGTCTGTAGTATTCCCTCAGGTTTCTGCCTAGTTAATTGTTTCTTGGAAAGCAGTGATTTTGGAATAGTAAATAAGCTTTGTAAAGCTAGGACAGGGCACCAGGTCTTAAGTACTTCTATAATATAAAAATATGTAAAATATTCTTCAATTTGTCTGCAGTCTCAGAGCCTTTCAGTGCTTGAATATTATAAGTTTAAATTAGATATTGGCTCTGTCCCAAATTCTGTGCAAATAAAAATCAGTACCTTAAGTCACCTTTAAGCTAAAGTGACCTTTAAATGCCTTATAATAAAGGTAGCGTGAGAGATTTGAGTTTAAATGTATTTACTGTCCATGACAGTAGTAAATAACTGGCTCTTTGGTGCTGCTTCTGATTATTATGTGCAGCCTGAGTATTGACTTGGAGTTGTGAGACTAAAATCAAGTACACATAACTCAAACTGGCATAGCAGGGAAGATGCTACTTGCTCATTGACTTAAAAGATTAGAAGCTACCACAATCACTGGACTTCAGTTATTGTGGATAATACTGTGTCTATTTTAACTACGGTTATGAAGATGTTTTAATAGTCATTTTTCCCATTGCTTTATAAATGTAAGCAAAGATTTCATTAGAAATATGCTGATATTTTTGGGGACAGAAAAAATTAAGCATATAAAAGTAATTATCAGATCTTCAGTGGAAGCAAATGCTGTGTCTGAAGCAGTGTGGGATTCCTTCAGCATCCACTGGAGTGCTTGTGAACGTGGGGCTGTTGTTAGTGAGCAGTCAGCTGAGCTGCTGCAGCAATTCCTGCTCCATGCCCTGTATGGTTTTGCTGTGAACTTTTTGGTCCCTCCCCAGACCCCAAGCCAAACCTGTCTAAAGCAAACAGTTTGTATCTGAGCATAGGAAAGGCTGTTGTTGGGATGATGCAGAGGTTTCTGCTTGTGAAACTGAGTCACAATTCATTTGTTAATTCACCTGACCTAAATTTTCTGCTCTCACAAGAATGCTCCTCATTTTGGAGTTTCTTCAGAGGAAACAGTATTCCTGAAGAAAAATAAATTTTGGTCTTTACTGAATAAAAGCAAATTTTTTTTTAAGTCACAGCAATGAGGTAAATCAGATAATCTATTTTGGCAGATAATCTATTAGATATTAATATAATCTGATATATTAATCAGCTAATCTGTTTTGGTATCTTCATGTCGCTCTCAAGGGTAACAAGATTAAATCTCTTTGAATTGGTTTGTAACATGTTACTGCCTTCTTTATCTAAATTTGTGGGATTCTTTGTCCAAGAAAATTAAAAGTAAGCTTTACCTGGAAATTAGGACAAGTTGATGGTGAAATATGATGTCACAGGGACCTAGGCGTGTTAATATACATGTTGTGCTAAACACTGTGAAACCTGAATTTCATTAGTTATTTCCTTGAGGTGGGGTGAACAAGAGAGAAACTGCTCGTACGATTACATTCACAGACGTGTATGTAAGGATCCTCAATTACATTTTAAAATCTGCTTTTTGAATTTGCTCCACAAATTGGAGGGGGGGGAGAAAGTTTCATCATTGCAAAGGGTTAAAGAGGTATTTCTGATGAAAGTATTTTTTCCCCAGTTGAAATACAGTAATGTACATGCTAGTCCAGACAGCATGATTACATATTTCTTGTGTTTGCATTTTCTCATCTTCTGCCTATGGTGTTATGCTTTGTTTCAGCCCTGTGCAGGTCCTGAGGAGATTTTGTCATCTGTGATGGAGTTCTTTGCAGGTTTCTTATCCCGTCCCAACTGGCATTCTTCCTGTCTTCTCTAGGACTGCTAGGCTGTGTTTAACCACCACCTTTCCCAGCTGTCCCAGCTGACTGGTAGGCTACATCTTCCCTTCATGTGTACATTTCCTTCCAGTAACACTGAGAGCAAACAAAGGTTTGCACATTCAGGTTTTGCCTCAACATGCGGTTGGGATGTGGCTGACATGCACAGTGTAATAAGGGAAGAGTTTTTCAGTCTTATCAATTGCTTACTCTGTTTCTTTGTGCAGTTCTGCATTTTGGCATTGAAAAACCCTCCAACATACAGCAGCCTCAAATGGTCCACTTAAAGCTTAGTATTTACTGATCCAAAATTTCATATCAAAATTCATATCCAAGACTTAGAAAAGTAGTAGAAAAGTACTTAGGAAAAAAGACTTAGAAACTGTGTAGTTTTACTGGCTTCAACCTGTGTAATTTACTAAATGAAGATTCTGCTGCTTCTTACTGTTACTTCAGGAAGGACTATGCCTAAAGAGTAGTTTAACTTAGCCATAAATCTTGTGGTATAAAAGCAGGTCAGTTATTGTTGAGTTTTGTAGAGAAAAGCATAAGGGAGCATCTCAGACCTCTCTTTGTTTGCTGTATAGTGTCTCATCATTACCTTAGACAAGTGTAATCATATGACCTTCATGCTCTCCCAGTGTTGTACACTGAGTCTTGAGGAATAGAGTTCTGTCAAGAAATACCTTAGTTGGTGCCTAGGCATTTAATTAAATGTGTGAATAATTTAGTAATTGTTGCTACCTCAGGAAGAGAAGTAAAATATTTTTTAAATATTTAAAATACCAACCAGAACAAAGCAATAGCAATTGCTTTAAGTGAATGAGTACTACCTTAAAACCAAAGTATACCAGTTATGGCCAAACACCATATAATATCCATTCAATTTCTATATTTTTTCACTTATTTTAATAATATTGCTTTCCTATATGGTGATGTTCTGACTGACTGTTTTAAGATCACTTTTCATTACATTCTAATATAGAAAAAGACTTTGATCTAAAGTGAAGATTGTTTGCCAACATTGAGGAAAATATTGTTAAAGTTGTATTTTCTTTGAAACAAGTTTGCTTATCTATTTTCAGTTAGATACAGTATGTAAATTGTTCAGTAAAAAGTATCCTGTGCCAAACTCAAGACCGAGTACACTAGAAAATGTTGTGAGTTTCTAAAATCCAGTTATTAACTTTGATCTGCCTTTAACTCTGTAAGGCATGTGTTTGTTTTAATATTGAAAGTGCTGTGATTCTCTTCCCAGTGTGCTCTGTATGGGAATAGAGGAGCCCTATCTCCTCTGCTTCCAAGTTGCTGGTACAGTGCTTTTCTTTGATGTCCCTGGGTTAATGCAAAGTCCCTCTACTGCATTGTAGCTCCTGACATGGGCACTGTCAAAAGCGAGTAGATATCTCTAACATTTTGGAAGAGACAAGTAATACTGTGCTGTAAGACTCTAAACAAAATAGTTAAAGGTAATGCACATTGTTGAATTTAAGTGTTTGCCTAAGAACTCACTGTTTATGACCTGAGACAGAGGCATTGTTTGGGGATTTTTTTTTCCCTTCCTTACTTAGAGAGCACAAAACCTGAGCATGCAAAGCATGTAACAAGATTCAGAAAGGTATCTCAGATCAGTTATGGAGAGATAATAAACTGCCAATTATTAGTTCAATGTATGCCTCAGTGGTTTACTATGCCTCATTAACCTGAACAGTGAGCAGTGGTTCCAAGCACAGAGTGTGACAAAATCTTTTGCAGTTAGTGTGCTTATATAGTTTTCTTTTAAGGAGGCCATTAGCCAAAATTCAGTTTCTAAAAGAAACCGTGTTTAGGTATGATAAGCAATTTAGCGTGTAATCAAGAACTAGGAACAAGATTCACTGTTAGACTTTGAAGTGTTTTCTTCCCTCCTTTCTGCTACTCCAAATTCTCCTTGTTTCTTTTCTGTTTGAGTGCTAGGAGGAGATAGTGATGGATTGTTCCACAGCGCTTAGGTATTGCCGGAAATTGTTAATGAGAGTAGAAGCATTTATGATCATACAGGAAGCATATATATATGGAGCTCAGAGAAATAATCAACTGGCTTTGAGAATGAGTATTTGCTTTGGAGATTGGTATGTTTTCTAAACAGTTCAAATCTGTGCAGAAAGTTTTATATATATAAAATGTATCTATTAGGAGATAACACAAGAGAGCATTTAAAACTATTTAAAAATTTGCTGTCTTAGAATTACAGTATCCACAGGTATTATATGCCAATGTGTAGTTAACAGCCAGAGGAAAGCTACAGTAGAGCTGAAATTCACTGCAAAAGCTTTTGAGTACCATCACTATGCCTGGGAGATGGCTAGGTCTTTTTTTGCTCCTATGGCTTGTAGCTAGTGTAGCCCCATTGACTTTTCTTGGAAGGGAAATTCAGTGAACTACTTTAAACCCATCAGAGTGATTCATCTTCAGCTCACCAAGGGGAGAAGAAGCCTTTACATAGAATCTCAGAATGTGCTTAGATGAAAGGGACACACAAGGATAATTGACTCCAACTCCTGGCCTTGTACATAGTCACACCATGTGCCTGGGAGTGTTGTTCAAAAGCTTATTGAGCTCTTTGAGGCTTGGTGATGTGACCACTGCACTGGGAAGCCTGTTCCCAAGGGCTACAATGAGGTCTCTTCTCAGGCTGAACAGACCCAGTGGCCTAAACTGCTCCTCTTAGGGTTTTCCCTTCAGACCCCTCCTTTGGGCACTCTCTAATGGCTCCATGTCTTTTTTATAGTGTGGCACCCCAAACTGCCCCCAGCACTGGAGGTGAGGCCGCCCCAGAGCAGAGCAGAGCAGGACAATCCCCTCCCTTGCCCAGCTGGTGATGCTGTGCCTGATGCCCCCAGGACACAGTTGTCCTCCTGGCTGCCAGGGCACTGACTCAGATCCAACTTTCCATTGACCAGGACCTCCAGGGCCCTTTGTACAGTGCTGCTCTCCAGCCTCTCATTCTCCAGTCTGTCTGTACACCCAGGGCTGCCCCATCCCAGGTGCAAAATCTGGCCCTTCGCTTGTTGAACTTCTTACAGCTGGTGATGACCCAGCTCTGATTTGTTGGGGTCTCTCTGCAGGGCCTTCTTTACCTTCATTTGCTTTTTGTAGTTTTGCCATAGGTCCCATCTTGCTCTTTTCTGGTTTTATTCTGAGGCTCCTTGCTGCTGATGGAACCATTGTTAGACAAGGCACTGCCAAGTCAGGTCAGGTTGTTGGTGTGTACAGAGAGTGTTTCATGATGTACCCAAAGCTCCATCTTCCTGACTCTCCTTGTCAGAAAGTATTTGTAAAAATGCCCTGTGTCTTTATAAGCAATCTGTTGCAAGCAGCTGTTTCAGTTCTCTGTGGATCATTAGATGCTGAAAGAATATTTTCCACACGCACACACACACGCTCACACACATCAAGTCCATTTAAACTCAGTGACCGTTGAAATACTTAGGGTGTTTACCTTCATAATGCTTCCTAAACACACTTTTTGCCAAAGGTTTAATAATAGTTAATTATTACGTTATTTACATGTGCGCTAGTAAAATTTAGAACATTTAATGTTCTATTTTAAACTATATATTTTTATAATAAATTCATTCTTCACCAAGTGTGAGTGAATATTATGTTCCTTGTGTCAAACCCTTGCTTCCTGAGCCATCAAAAACAAATGAGATAAGTGATTACTAAGAATCATGTTCTGCTGTCTGAACAGAGGGTTCAATTCTGAAAGACTTAAAATGTAGATTCCCTCTTCTGGCCTGAAGGAATAGATAAGGCTGATTACAAATGCCAACTTCCTTGGGTGCATTCAATGATAGTTGAGTGTTGACATTTTGTTTCCAAGAGGCACCTGTGACATTTTGGTAGGCTCACCTGTAAGTAAGCAAATACAAGTGCCATTACTTGGTGCTTGCCAGAATGTCAGCCCCAGGGGTGACATTGGTCATTTTGAGTCACACTGACACTGCATAGCTGAGAGAATTATGAATTATATCATGTTATAATTCATCTGCCATTTCTTTACTAATTCCTTCTATAAATTGGAATTTAAAGAGAAACTCACATCCATTACTATATCTCTAGCTTATACTTCTGAATTTGTCTAGGAATTGTAAGGTAAATCTCCACCATGTTTATGTGTATTGATGTTCTATCTGGAATCACTTTCTTGCCATGAAAATGGTGTGATGATTATCTGTCAGTCACCTAAATCAGCTTAAAGCTTTTGTTTTCATTTTATTTATATACATTCTAAAGGAAAAAAAACCCTAAAGGTTGGATTATGGCATTGGAAATACAGCTACATCAGAAAAGCATAAACAAGAAAATGTATTCATACATAGTAGCTGATGAAAGGGATCTTAGGTATGTCAAAAAATTTAGCTTGTTTGGGGTAATAGCTCTGAAGCCTGATGCCTCGTGACAGATTTTTAATTTGACATCTATTTCAATATATTTTATCAATTTTATATTTTTAAAGAGACACTTCATCTGTTTTGACCTTCTTTTTTTTCTTGTTGTTTGTTTTTTTAAAAATTTATTCTCAGATTTTCTCAGGGAAGCCTACTTCAATCAAATACAAGTGTCTTGTTGCATGAAGCTGAAAAAATCCAGATTTCCCCTCCCTTCAGCAATGCTAAATTTATGTTCATAGCTCCATAGTATAACATACTCATAGACATTAATGCCTTTCTTGAAAGTCAAAACATTTTAAGAGTGTCAAAAATTTTAGGAAGCATTCATTTTATGGGATTTTATTAAACATCCTTTAAAATTTTAATGAGGTAAATAATGATAATACACATCACATGTTTACTTTTTTTTCTAATCACTTTCTTCCTAGATGTTTTAAACTTTAGTCTTCCAATCACACATTTATTGGTTAAATTAAGGATTTGTGTTTAATGCAAATAAACCCTCCTGTTTATCCAAAATGCAAACTAATTCCCGTTTGAAACACCTCTGCAAACCCTCACAAATTTGTGCTACATCTGCATTTTGCTTGTAGTGTCTTTTACAGGTTAGAATCCCTGGGAATTCACTATTCCAGAGAGACAGTGGTGGGTCCTAGAAAATGAGAGCTGCCACAGATAAAACTTAGCATAGCCCACAAATAGAATGGGGTAATATATTGTCTAGGTAACAGCATTTAACTGGAAGAACTAGAAGAAGTTTATTAGAAGAAAATCCAAATCCAGCCAACTAAACCACAACAAAACCAATAAAAGAAGCAGCATTATAAAACATTTTACAATGAGGCAGAAGTCCTCTTCTACTTGCTTTACTCTGTTGCAAAGGGGTGATGTTATTGAAGTATTGCTTTATATTAACCGTCTTTATTAATAGTTCTTAATGTACTCCAGACATCTTATAACTCCTAGATGAAGACTGAATGCTTTTAATATCTCTGTTTTATTCTTAATAGTGTTTGAAACACAAACAAGCTATTGCATAAGTATATTTTCAGTGTGAAAAGGGTCATCACTATTTGTTATTTGGTGAAGAATGTAGCACGTTCCCCTGCAACTCACAGTCTTTCAGTCTTTTTCCTTATTATGGATTTCTTATTCTTGGTTTTGTCTTCAATTTGCCTTTACTAGCTGTGCTCCCTAAACTTTCCCTTCTTAATACTCTTCCAGACTACATCTTCTCCTGAACCATCTCCTATTCTTTAACTTCATTCCGTCATAAATCACTTTTTAGAAAATAAATTATGTTCTTATTGCAGGAAATGACTTGGATACGTACCAACACCACTTGCTGGAACTTCAGCAAAGACTGTTGTATGCTGACAAGGAAAATAAAAAAAGATCACATGAACTGAGCAGTGCCCTAGATGAAATTAAACATATAGTCGCCAGGACAATGAACATGACAAAAAATCACACAGGTGTGTAGGGGTTTTCTCTGTTTTTTGTTTTGTTGGGGTTTTTTTTTGTTGTTGTTTTGGTTTGGTTTGGTTTGGTTTTTTTAGGACACCAACATGTAAAGTGTAGTGATCTGGTTTCTTTCCATTGTTAATTGAACTTTTTAGTTACCTCACCTGACAGACTGTTGTACATCTCTATCTGTCTGCACATTGTAGTTACATGCAATAGAGTGACAGTTTGATTTTGTAAACTAAAATAAATTATGTAGTTGTGCAGGATCTGTTTTCCTCCCTGTTGAGACTGGCAGAGCTTTTTCCCTGGGGAGAGAAGGGAAACTAGAAGAGGCATCTCTGTGCTGGAGGCATTTCAAGAAAGGGTCTGGGTGTGACTGAAAATTACCATTTAACAATCCTTATTTTCATTCATTACAGCAGGTTGATAATCAGACTAAAATGGGGAATTAACGAGGGCTGTTACAGGGAAAGAAAGAACAAGGTGCATTTCTTTGTATAGTCAGAGTTGTTTTTTCTCCTGTTCTCCCCTGCCAGTTTTTGTCTGTTTATTTGATATTAATTGCTTGGGACTGTTCAGAAGTGTATAAACAAAGGGCTGAGCATTGTCAGGGTGGTGGCATTAGGAGCTTTAGAATGGAGTCACATTGTCAGCCCCCAGTAACCCCACTTATTGTGGGCAAAGAGTTACTGCCTAATGCATAAAAGAGCAGTAAAGGAGGGTGCAAGTTCCTCTTCCCCCTGCTTTTGGTTCTTACTGGAGCCAGCTAAATTTCAGAAAGTATTCAATCTGTCAGTTCACAGGATTTAAGGCAGAAATTTCTTAAAATTGCTGAATAATTTTCCTTTTATTTTTATTTACCCTTCTGCTTCCCATTCCAGCCATGTTTTATTATACAACCAAAATTGAAAGGATTATTATAGTCAATGGAACTAAACTCTCTTGCCCAATATTTGATAGGTACTACTTCCAAATAAAGAAACAAAGTCCTTTAAAAGTTGTAAAGGTGGTTTCTGTGCAGCAAAATTCCAGTATATTTGATGGCTTAACAGTGTGGAAGGACTTGTGGGTCTCTTTCTCATACACAAATGTCTGGGCAGATCTATATGGTTGCTTGGGGTTTTTTTTAAGTATTTTCTTTAGGTAGGAAATCTCTTTTTAGACCAAATTTCCAGTGGGAGTATCTTTTGAAAGTTGAAAAACTTAAATTATTTCCCATTCAGTAAGTATCTGCCTTTCTTATTCTAAGCTAAGTGAATAAAGTTGATTATGGCTTTTGTGATACTTGTATGTAACTTTGAAGGGTGGTAAATTTGGGGAGTTATTTTAGATGCATTTTTTGGGAAAAGTAACTTTCCATCCCAGTTAATAAATGTTCTGTTCCTTGCATCTTTATTTTAAAGTAGTAAAGAAAAATAAAATCTCTACTTTTCTCTTAGTTGCTATAGTCTTTTGTTTCTTGAATAGTTTTTAAAGGCCTGTATGTGGTCATTCTTCTTACCATAGGACTTTTTATAAACTGAACTTTTGCTTGAGCTGTGAAAACTACCTTGTGTTACTTTTTGGAAAAAGCATTTAAGTTTATGAAATAGTTTAGAAGGTTATTAATCAGAATATGTGTTTTCATTTAAAAATTGTTTGCCAACCATGTAAAAAGAACCCAAAACCCAACAGTTATTTTACTGCTGCCTTTAAAATAATTACTTACTGTGTTTTAAGATGACTCAGTCCTGCAAGTGCGTAGGCATAGGGAATCCCAGGATGCTCAAGCTTGGAGCTCTGCACCTCCACCTGAGTGGGAAGGAGTTGTACTGGGAAATTCTCAATTTAATATAATGTAATATATATGACAAATAATAATTTCTGAGGAATAGTTCTGATTGAAAAACCTTGTGTGTGGTAATCTGCCAGTGTTCAGTTGAGCAAAACAGGTGAAGAAATTGACTTCTCTGCTTGCTTTTTATTTTATGTGGATCTCTGTGTTTGTTATGTCTTTAAGGTGATTTAAAGTGGAAAGAGTTAAACCTCCCCAGAAAACTCCCCATGACTCTTACAAATATTTACTACTATCTCCCTCACCTTCGAGAATATGAAGATGCAATTTTCCCAAATGTTATTTTTGGACAACAGAGAACTGGAGGTAGGAAATAAAGTTTGGCTTCTATTTGCTGTATGTTTGTATTTTTTATTAATTTCTATCAATGAAGCATACTCAAAAGTTTGGAATGGATTTTCTCCCTTAACTTTCTAATGTTGCCAAGCTGAATGAATTTTAATGGCAATAGCAGAAGTACTTTTAAAATGCCCACCCCCATTTCAAGTCTTTATCTCAAAGTATTCTGAAAGACTTTTGAAATAGCAACAAAATAATCTTAATTGCAAAGTAAGACTATTTTTTTTTTGCAATCATATATTCATATGGCTACGATGCAGTAGCTGACATTTTTCCCCCATGAAATTAGTATGGATGAGGAAGCCAAGGTGAATTTACAATGCATTCAGTTTGCCAATGTGAAAAGCAAGGGGAAAGGTGATGTGATCGTTTAAAGGCTATTAATATATCTTCAATGTAGCTTTTTCATCCACATGAGAAATCAGCGGGCACCTGTAGAAATCATAATGAATTTCAGTGAACTAGAATACAAATTTTAAATGCATCATCTGAACTGTCATGTGATAGGTAGAAGGACCATGCAAAAATAGTAAGTAAAGAAGTCAACCATTTTGCTGAGTTCTGTATTTTGTTGAAATTTTTACTTTCCTGTAGAGTGATTTTATATGAAGAAACGTTGGCAGTGTTTCTGATTTAACTAAAAAGTCCCCAGACTCTGGGTCATGCTCATGACAATGGAAAACTTTCTACAGACTACTTATTAGTAGGTGTAGTTGTAGCAATGTGATCTGGTGTTGGAGTTCTCAATGGAGTGCCCATAGGTCAGTGCCACTAATAAAAGAATACGTTTAACCTTCTTTTATTTGTGCAGGAAAATCACAATAGCAAGACTGCAGTTTAATAAGTACAGGTTGACCTTCAATGTGTAAAATGAAACAAACCCCAATGATTTAATGGGATATGTGCTGGGAAGGAACATGGGCACTTTGGTTTTTGAGCTGACACTGGCATGGAAGTTAAAGTCAGAAGCAAGTCACTAATTGCACCTACTGTTCTATTTCAAACTGTTGCTTCCTCACCAGCCCTCTGGGATTTTGGTGAATAGAAATCACTTGCAAGGACTAAGATTCCACAGGTTTAGTGAGCTATGTTTGGGTGCTGATTTAAGTAATGCTCATACTAATGAAAAAAGAAGCATCCTGCTTGTGGTCTGATGATGTAATACAGCACAGGTTTGCTACTACTGGAGTCTTTGTTAGAGACAATTTCAGTTTCTTTATTTTTAATAACAGTAACATCTTAGTTCTTTTATTCTTATTGATGCTATGAAAAGCATTGATGCATATTAATTAAACTGCTCAGAAGGATTTTTGAATTGGATTTCTTTCTGAAATACACAGCATTCACTTCCTATGAGAACTTGCTCACTAGAGTAGTGCAATACTCACTTTTGAATCTCAGCAGTAAACTCCTACGTGTTTGCCAGAGGTAGTGGTTATCTCTGTGTTCCCAAGTGTAGACCTGATGTTTATAACACAGACACAGGTGTCTCTAAACTAAACATAGCTGGAGGTATCTCTCCTTCCAGGTAGTAGAGCAAATGCTGTCATAGTGCTAAGGAAATATTAACTGTTGCCAACGTTCATGGTCACATCAAATCAAAATGAAAATGTGATTTCAATTTCCCTTAAACTTACATGGCTTGAGACGTTTTCTCTTTGCAGTCTCCCTTGTGATGGGTATTCCTACGGTGAAAAGGGAAAAACAAAATTACCTGATTGATACATTGCATTCCCTACTGTACCAACTATCTGAAGAGCAAAAGAAGGACTGCATAATAATCATCTTTATAGCAGAGGTAGGTCTGCATGGAAAGATGCAGGATGCTGATAGAAAATACAGAGATTTATGCCTAAAAGTAACAGTGCAAAATACTGTTAGCTTGGCCTTTGGGAGGGATTTCTTCAGGGCTTGAGAAGATGGTGAGCAGTTAGTGCCTCAGTGTTCATATCTGGGAAAAAAAAATCTGTAATGAAGATAATCAAAGGGTAAAAAGTCATATTATATTTACCAACACAGTCCTTGGATCAGATTTTCCATCAAAACCATATGAAATCATTATTTGTCTCTGAAAGTAAGGTTTTCTGCTTCCAGAATGAAATGGAAGTTCTCCACAGAAAAGCACCATAGAACCTGAAGAAAGTAAACTTAGTCTAACGAATGTTCAAATTATTTATCTGCTGGTTTGGTAACATATATCTTGTAAAGTATCTTGACATAATGGAGCCTTCTGCATGTGTTTTGGCATTTCCCATGTAAAAGAACTTTTCAGAGCCTTGAACATGTTTGGGAAAGTAAACAGTGCTCAAGGTTAAGATATTAAGGATAAATGTTTTTTTTTTTTTCTCACTCAAAAATACCTTGATTAGATCAGGAAAAAAAAAGCTGCAGAAAGGAATTAGCCAGTAATAACTTCTAGCAGGTAAAATGACTGTGCAATTTTTCAGACTTTGTATTTATTCTGTATATTTCTACGTCCTTCCATAGACATCATTAAATTCATGCACATATACATTAACAGTTACAGTTTGCTTTTTTTTTTTTATTTTATTTAGTCATCACTTTTGCAGGTAAAAGTGTCAAACAGTATAGTTCACTTTTAATTTTGGCCACGACTTCCACTTTTCTGTTTGGAACACAATGATGAATACAGAGGACCAATTTTATTGGCTTTAGTTCCTCTTCAGCATAGTTTTTAGGAGCTGAAATTACTTTGCAGTTGGTATTCCACAATGAAGTGAAATCACTACCTGGCAGTGATGAACTTTGTCTTGCTGCCTTTCAGATAAATTTATTATTACAGGACTTCAAAGGACTTCAAATTTCTGTGAGTTTTTAAGGGTTGACTTTTGAATAGTCTCCCACTGTGGAGAGTCCTAATGTGACACTTTGAACAAACAGAAGCTGTGGTTGTAGTAAAAGTCTGTATCAGCCAATTTAGGATTAAACTGCTGTGGTAAGACCTACTGTCCCTTTTCTCCCAACCCAAAAGTCATGTTCTCACAGCTTCTATTTTTCCAGCCATGCAGTAAATTGCAGCAGACAACCATGCTGATCTGAGAGGTGATAAGAACGTTGTATTATGAGAGGAGGGCAGGTGTGTTCACTGATAATGAATCCACACCTTCCTTTTTCCCACAGTGTTTTAAAAGATCAAGGTCGATGTTTACATCATGGGTTAAGCTTGAGGAACTTATTGACTAAGAGTGAGTTTTAAGTTCTGGGTATTTTTTTTCCTTACCACAGTTCTTTATCTCACTTTTTTTTTTTTTTTTNGATTATATATTAAACAATTTGCTTATTTAAAGAAAAATCTGAACTACTAAGACAGTTCTTGTGTTGCTTCAGAAATAAAACTTTGCACTCTTAATGTAGTTAACAGATATGTTTGGCACGCTAACATTGTTACTTTTATAAAACAACAGTAATGAATGTCCTCAAAATTTCCAAACAAAGAGCTGTAAGTTTGTTATATTAGGAAGAAATTAAATAAAATTTTTAAGTATTGCTGGCTTTCTAATATTTAGCTTAGGTGATTTTTCTCATAAGCCTTAGGCCTCTTCTGTGATTTTTGGATTATTAACCCAAAACAGCTCTCTTTACTGACAATTATATGGCTGTGCTTTATTGGCATAGCTGAACAGAATTTTGTCCAGAAAATAGCCTGGTCTTCTGCAAAAACAGTGAAAAAGCAAAGTACCAGAAATGGCAGCTGGTAATAGTTGGAAGCAAAAGTGAACTACACTGAAAGTTTGGTTGGCTTGAAAAGCCCATACTGTTCCTTGGTAGAAATGTTGCTGTAACGTACTGCATTTGTTTGGAAGGAAAATAAATTAAGTGTTTGCATATACATGTTCCATACAAAGTGTTGTTTAATACAAAAATGGGTGTCTTTTAATGAAACCCTCCCTTCTTTTTTTTTAGGTGGATACAGAGTATGTTAAGAGTGTTGCAGAAAGTGTTAAAACCAGGTAAGTCCTACAGAATGTAACACTCAACCATCAGTGTGAACATATCTGGAGATTTTATGGAAAGCTCCATCAAGTAGAACACTTCAACCCTGAAATGGAACTGAGGCAAAGGTGCATTCTCAATATGTATGCCATAACACACTGTGAAGTTGAGAACAGAAATGTATATATCAAATTTATTTTTCATTTCTTATTTGATAAATAGGCTTTAACTAACCAGTTAAGTCAAGGTCTCAGCTTAAATCTCTGATAAATATTTACTCGAGCCTAAATCTTTTCCCCACAAAATTAATGATGCATTTTATGCACCTGAGGTTGTATGTATGAGGTCCCCACTGACTACACAACCCTGCAGTGTAATCTGGCATTTGTCATAGAATCACAGAATTCCTTAGGTGGGAACAGACCTGTAAGATCAATGGAGTTCAACCATTAGCCCAGCACTGCTACCCCTAAACTAGGCCCCTAGTGCCACAACACATCCATGTTTTCCCAAGCCTCTTCATTTCCTTTTTTTAACAATTTTTCAGGAAGGCAATGGACTTGGGACAGCAATGGGATTACATTTATAATTCTGCTTGCTCTTATCTTTCTTGCACAAGATCCCTGGAGGAGTTGACCTTTTCTTCCTCATTTGAGGGTTTCTGCACATCCTCCTTAACCCAAGGGTTTCCCAGACTCTCTTTTGTGTATGGGTTTCCCCCCAAAGACTCCTCATACTGAGGCTGTTAACTAAGTAATATTCATCATTTTCTGCCTTCAGAGGGTTTAGCCCATCTGGGGAGTGCAAGGGGAAGAGGCAGTCCTTCTTGGCACTGCCAAGGTACAATACCTACAGCAATTTAAATGCTCAGATATTACTGCATTATGGCTTTTGAAAAAATTACTGTAGAGTATTTGCTTTGTCAGGGTTACACAGTAAGATTGATATTTTTTCCCATAATGTTGGTTCTCTAATATGTTTAATTTTTAGTGTTATCTTTTGTTTAATAATCATAGGAAATGGGAAACTCAGTTTTGAAACCTCTGTTCTACCTCTTTTGTGTTGGGGTTTTAAAATGATGCAATTTATGTACCTGAGACCTGTTGTGGGTTTTTTTTTTCATTTGGTTGATGTTTTTTTGTTTGGATTTTTTGATTGGTTGTTTTGTGGTTTTTGGAGGAAGGGAGATTTGACTTCCAGATTTGGCTCCCAAAGTAGGTTATACATTTTTTTAATGTCTCCTTAAATGGAAAATTTAATTCTTGGAGCAGAGACTAGACCCAGACTCTCAATTTTAAACTCCTGCTATGGGACAGTATAATTTTGCTTAGAAAGTAGAGTTGGAGCAATGGTAAGGAAACTGGGAGCTCTCATGCAAGGGGGAAGAGTTGTGAGTTTTTCTAGATAGTGGGTTTGGTTGTGAATTGCTGCTGCATTTTGGCAGCTATCTCTGTATTGTTAGTAATCATCTACAGATGTGGGAGGGACAAGATTTCTGAGACACACTTCTCTCCAGTGTTTTCCTGACCTGTCTGTTCTGATAGTTGTTAAAGACCCCTTCATGGTTCCAAATTTGCAGTCAGTTTCTTTGATAGAGTTGTGAATGCCACTTCTGGAGGAGCAGACCTAACTTTGGGGAGCTGCTGTCTGTATTTGCCCTTAAAAGTCCTTTTGAGGAATGGGGTCTCACTAGGATTCTCTTCCCAGCTTCCCCAGAGAAGTCCAGTCTGGAGTTCTAGAGGTTATTTCTCCTCCTGCTTCCTATTACCCAGATCTTTCCAACCTGAAGAAAACACTTGGAGATTCTGAGGACAGAGTAAGGTAAGATTGCTATATAAAACCTAAAAACTTGCTAAGAGTGTAAAATGGAAAATTCAGAAAAAGTCAACTTTGTTTGAACTGATAATTTTTTTGTGTTTCAGAGCTAAAGGACCTCCTATGCACTTGTAAAACAAATTTACAAGGGGATCTTGAGAAAAGCTATACTCCACATCAGTTTCAGGGTGAGAGTCAAGGCATCTGCTTTAGGTCTTGACTCTAGGCATCCAACAGGTTTTAAACCAGATGGATAATGCCAACAAGTAATAGGCTATATGAGTTGTCATAAAGGAAAAAAATAGAAAAATCTTTAATGTAACTGATGAGGGAGAGTTTCTGTGAACACTCAGAGGAAAGTCTGTGTGGCCCTCTAGCTAACTACAGACATGAATGACCTAACTTTTGGTGATCATTGAGTTTTTACCTACTGTTACTACACCCTTAATGGTGATTTCATTCACTCACATGCCCCAAATTCAGTAAGACAGAGATTATAACCTAAAAAAAAGATTTATTGGAGGAAAGTAATTTTCTTCATCAACAATAACTAATTTATCAGAAGCCATTGCAACAATACAGCAAGAGAGTTGCAGCCTAAACTAAGAGTTTAGGCTGGAGGAAATCAGCCAGTATATTTACATATATATGTGTATGTATATTGGCTTTATAAATAAACCTTATGTGTTCATACCATAGACCATAAACAAGTTTACCTACTTATAATTTAGTTTTAGATATTAGATTTGGATCAGTTATACTTTTACGTTAATGAAATACTACTAAATTACGCTGTAGTTTTACAGTGTTGATTATAAAACATCACTGTCATCCTCTGGTAAAATGAAAGACTGTACAAAATATGTGTTCATATTTAAACCTGAAAATTATGGTTATCAACTTGCTTTTGTGCTGTTCATATGTAAAACCATTTATTTTTTAATCTTTAAATAATCCATATGTATTTCTACTCTTCATAAAATAATGAGTAGAATCTTTTAAGTCATTTGACATTAATAACTTGTTAGACATTTTGTTTCAAGTTCCATTGACAGAGTTCAAATTTTTTTGTTAATTTAATGTTAACTTTTATAGGAAAATGAAATTATTTTAAAATGTTTGCATTGACTGTAGATGAATGCTTTTGCACTTAACAATGGGTCAGAATGTACAACCTTAAAATTTTATTGTAAGGACAAAAAATACAGAGCATTAGAAGTTCTCTTGCTATAGAAATAAATCTTGCAACCCCCTCAAAATCTTATCAGAATTTGCTGCTTATATTTAGGTGGAGAACTAAACAGAATTTGGATTATAGCTTTTTAATGCTATATGCTCAACCTAAGGGAACATTTTATTTACAGGTATGTCCATATTATCATTAAGTAGCTGCAATACCTCTGTACTGATGATTAGTTTTGGCAATTTTAGTTTCAAAGGCCTCAATAAAACCAGCAGTCTATTGTCATTTTCTGTGTATTTTGCCTATGCTCCTTACATATTTCTGTATTTATATACATCTTGCAGACAGGTACTATTTGATTAAAATCATCTCTACTTTCCTGTCATTTGTGAGGTTGAAGAGCAAGGTAACTGAAGCATGAAACCCTTATTTGATTAGGTTAAGAAAGTCAGAGTTTAGTATATTCTTACTTACTACAGCCAAGAAAATTAGTAGTGGTAGGTCCAGGTTATAGCCCAGATGACAATGAAGTGAAATATTTCAGACAGGAAATACCAGCAGAGTGATATTTGAGATAAGGTCAACTACAAGTTGGCACAGATCCTTAATTCTCCAGAAAATTTTGTGTTAGCCTTTAAGAAGATCCCCATGCATTTAAGCTTAGCTTTAACCATCATTCTAGATTTTTGCTTATTTGCATTCCATAAAGATCTTAATCACCACCAGAGATTCCAAAATTTATAAAAGCTGTTCAATCATGGAACAGATCTATAAAATTTCATGTAGCTCAAAAATGTCAACAGTTTTTTAAAAATCTCAGACGAGAATTTTGCCTCAGAGTTGGTATTCCATAAGGACATGACAGGATTCCTGGAAGCAGAAGACTGCAGGACCTGGCATCTCCTACAGTTTTTCTCAGGATTCAGCAAAAACTCATTTGAGCTGGGCTACCTAAGAGTCTCCATGCTCTGTTCTCAAATGTGGCATAGGTGCTCAGGATGCAGGGGGAGAAACAAAAATGCTGTGATTTGAACAATTATGGTTTAATGGAAAATGAAGTATTTTCCTGTGGCTTTTGTATATTTTAAGAACATTATCCAAGTTTCCTGAGCGCACTAGAGCATCAAGGTGTAGGAAATGTGGTGAAGTGAAATGTTAAGATGCTGCTGGACACTTGATGTCCCTTCCTGTTACCAAGTTTTCCAAGCATTCATATTTGTGCCACAAGGAATTACTTATGTATTTGTATTTCTAAAGGAATTTGACAACATGTGTTTTCTTATCTGAGACACTATATAACTACTGAACTGTGCTATTAAGAACAAAGCCTGGATGGTGGTGGTCTGGTGGGAGTTGTCTTCTTTTGGGATTTTCTCAAAAAGAAACTACACTTTCCTCATACTGTTCCTCATACTGTTCCTACTGTATCCCATTCTTTGTTTCCATGTCCAGCCTGCAGCTGCTCCTGTAGCACAGATGTTGGTCTGCCCAAAAGCTGTTCTGGAGAGTGGAGGTGAAAAGAATGAACACTTGCTGTCATAAACCTAGTTATGTCCTCCCTCTGTTTAGAAGTCTTGTATTAAAGGAAAGCAAACAACTTAAAACTAATTTTCCTTAGCCTGGTACAATATTTACTTCAGTAATCTTAAAAGTTGAGCTAGGTTAGATTTTTTATTTAGTTTAGTCAGGAATAGTATTGATTGAGTGACTGATACTAACTCCCAAACCTTGAAAGAAGATAAGTACACATAATTAGTCTTGACATCTACAGAACAGTTGATATCATGAGTCAGACAAGATCTTTGCTGAATAAACACTTGTTTTAGGATACTGCTGAACCAGGATTTAAGTAAGTAGTTTTGTGAAGTCCATTGAAGCTCACAGGCTTACACTGGGGATGAATCTTACCCACTGATCAACTTTTTTACTTAAAGCATTTTTTTCCCACTCCTCACCTTGAGAGAACTTTGAGGTCCTTGTTTCCACTTTCACTAAACCTCCTGGCGTTCACCAGAGATCCTTGAAGCACTTAGAATAATGGGATCATAACATAGCCATAAAAGCAGGCAATCAAATAGTATTAGCAGCCTAATAGTGAGGACATGCATTTATTATTTCTGTCTATGTAGACTTAGTTCACTGAAGGAACCACATATTTCAAATCTGAAGTAAACACAGATACAGCAGTTTTAAAGTGTTTACTATTAGCACTGAGATGAAACAGAAGTAAACCATTAAATAAATCTTATCTTCTTCAGATAAAATCTTTCGTCAAGTTCTAACTTGTGACAGTTTCCTGAACTACTGCTATGATTTTTTTTATTACCTCATATGGAGGCTGGGAAAGCTTTGTGTATTTATATATTTTATATATATATACACTAGTAATATACATTGCCAGCAGCACTTTTTAAATGGATTTAAAGCCTGAGCAATATCTCAGTGAGTTCATTAGGACTCTTTATATGGACTTATTTTTTCTTCCCCTCACTAGACTCTAGGTTAGACCTGCTATTTGTTAGAGCTCCTAGAAGGAGCTCCACAGTTTTCACAATTCATTGTCAGTGAGACAAAATGTAAATGTACTCTAATAAAATTCAGAAAGGAAGAACCTTCCTGTGTGATACCTTAACTTTCATTGTATACTTCCACCTTTTTTTTACTACTCCATTTTTACTTCTCTTAGATAGACAGCTTGCATAAAAAAAGTGAATGGATACCCATGTAGGACATTTTCATAGTCTTGCTCTAGTGGATTAATGTTTTTTCATTCAAAAGCACTGATGAGTGAAGGGAAGTTAGCTGTGATTATGTGTTTTGCTGGCCTTCCCATGGCAATGGGGCAAGTGGACTAGGCAGTTAATATCTTAAATTTCCTGATCCAGCTGTGTGCACAGTTGCACACACCTCCTTTGGTAGATGAAAACATATGAGAAAACAAGTGGCTGTAAGCTACAGGCAGAAAAAAAAATCAAATTATAATTTGGGTACAAAGTAATAAATATTCAGGATCATAAAATGTTGTATAAGATACTGAAAAAAACCTGATACTGGAATCTCTAAGCACTGAGGGAGGTTGTCCAAGAGGTGCTTTAGTTGAACACAAATTAGAGGGTTAGATAAATAACTTTAATGGCTTGTTCTACATAGGATATCAAACTACATCTTCTAATAATCACTGTCAGCTTCAGGAAAGACCTCTCAGACTTCAAAATTACTTTCTGTTCATAACCACATTCACAGTCAACTTTGCATCACAGCCTCTGTGCTTTTAATCTTCACTGTTTTTGCATACTTTTCTATGGTGTTTCTCAATATAGTGCCCTCCCTAGGTTTTTAAGATACTCCAGTCTGCTTTTCATCCATTTTTGGTCCCACTCAGTTTCTCTTTAAGGATTCACTAAAATGTTCTTTGATTCTTTGCTCTTCTCCTTTTACAGCTTGCTCCTGGCTAATGCTTTAGCTAATTTAATTTTATGCCAGATTTCTTGTAAATTAATGTTTGGGAGGTTTTTTTTCCTTGTTCTCTTCTGTCTAACTGCCAACTCAACTCAATACCCAGATCTCAGAATCTGTTAAGCGGCATTCATCTTGATCAGTTTGCCTCTATTTTTTATCTTTTCATCAGCAAAAGCTGACAGGGTTGAAAACAAATTTCTAAATCTAATTGTTCTAACTTCATTCTACTTATTCCTGGGTTCCCTGTTGCCAACACATTTCTTGTCAGCCAGCCCTACACTTGTAGTGATGGAGAAATTCAGCTAAGATGATGACTCTGCTGCATCAGGTGAAGACACAAAACCAGCAGGAAATCATGTTTTGTTTATTTGTTTGTTTTCCTCAAAGGATTGATTTTCTAGCTGTTTAGCTTTCTGAAGCCAGTTTCAGCACAATCAGACGTGCAGCAGGGCCAGTGAAGTGGAGCAGTTAGAATAAATTACTGTATGATTACACTACACCCCAGCAATATTTTCCTGAAGACTTAGCCTCCTCTTCTGGTGTTTTTACACCCATATTAAATTCAAACCGTGAATTACTCACTCCTTAATTATTTCTGGAATACGTTTTTTCCCCTTTGTGTCATTACCTCCAACCTCCTTGCCTGGATTCAGCTTTAGTAGCAGGAATAGCTTCTGGCTTTTCAGATGCCCAGTTCTTGTCTTAAAGCCAGGCAAAAATGAAGCCATTGCCTTTCCCATTTCCTTGATCGATGTCTGTCTCCTCTTCCAAGCACCCTTTAGCTGGCTTTACTGCTGTGCTCTGTGCTGGCCTTTGCAACATCTTGAGAGCTCTGTGTATCCCTGTCCTTCAGTGTGATTGACAGAGCACACCCTTTCCTTTCCAGTATCCCCTGGGACAACTTGGCTTCTACAGGCATCTCAGGAATCATCCACAGTCCTTCTCAGTCACCTTGTTTGAATGACAAAGTCTGCCCAGGCTGCTGGAATTTTTAGACACATTTCCTCTTAGACAGTTTGCTCCTCTCGCTTATCAATGCTTATACAATCTAAGAACAAGCTTCTTATTGTTGTCTTCTGAAACCTCTTATCTTTTTGCTTAATGTTTTCCTCTAAGTGAGAACACCTCAAGGCAGGGAGTTCTCCATCAAAAAAGGGAGAAGCACCCATGTGTTATGGTCACTTCTGTAGATAATTACTTAATGAGTGATACTAAACCAGAGATATATGTAGAAACTAAATACCAATCCACTGTACTTTGGCACAGCTTCAGTGCATGTGGCACAGCAGTTAACACAGTTTTCACTTACTTGTGGCAATGTCACCACCCCCTATGCAAACAATAAAATCACTGCTTGCCTTCTGTTTTTCTGTTGCATTTTCTCCCCAAGCTGGAAGATGATATTATAGCCAAACCTGATTTTATTGAAAGTATAAAAAGCTTTGTTGCTCAACAGTCCCAAGATTGGATGGTTCTTGAGTTTTCACAACTTGGATTTATTGGTAAGTATTAAGACCTCAGCAGAATCAACTGGATTTGGAGCTGTGTAGATCAAAAAGGTCTCAGTCAGAATCATATCTCAAAGCATGGAAGGACTTGCATATCACAACTTCTTTGGTTCTTCAGGAAACATCCCACTGAAAGCAGTTTACTTTTTGTTTTCTTTAAAGCTGTCTTTTTAGTACAGTCTCTTCAATATAGAATCTATAATTGAGTTCCCATAAGGAGGAAATTATTCCACCTCAGGGTACTATGTGCCCCTGTAATGTGTAGTTCTCCTTTCAAGAACAGAATTTGAACAATTTATAAAAAAAAAGTAAAAAACATCCTTTTTTTTTTTTTTTTTTTTTTTTTTGTGGAGGAGAATATGCATCCCGTATCATAGGGCTGGATGATCAGCATCTCTTCAAAGCCAAATTCTTTGTGAAATTTTTCATTAAATTTCATAATTACATTCATGTGTGCAAGGCTGGTGTGATACTTAAACATTTATTTAAATAAATTGCATTTAAACATAAAGTTGGTGATTCTTGCATAGCAATAAAAATGTAACTTCTTGTCTTGCTTTCAGGAAAATTGTTTAAATCAGAAGACTTACCACTCATAGTGGAATTTTTTCTCATGTTCTGTAAGGATAAGCCTATAGATTGGCTTATAGACCACCTGCTCTGGGTTAAAGTGTGCAATCCAGAAAAGGATGCAGTAAGTATAACTGTGAATTTATGAAGATAAATAATATTCCAACACTCTCAGTGACAAAATTCATTTTCAGAAAGAGGAATAATAAATCTCTCAAACTGGACTTACTTTGGACTGACCAGAGTTTCTGCTCCTTGGGTTTTAGGGTTCAGGAGTTTTAACTGGTGCAGCCAGTTCCTGCTCCAGGATTTGCACGAGTTACTTAGGTGTTGATAAGGGAACAAGAAGAAACAAATAGGAGTTGTGCAGAGCAGGAGATTAAGGGGAACAGAACAAGCAAACTCCAAGTTTTACCCTGTAGCACAAGTGACACCTGGGGATAGCAGAAGGTCCCTGGTTAGACTTAGTAATGCACTGCAGAGTCTCCAGACCCACTTCCTTTAGATAGGAGCACGCTTTTAAATCCTGCTCTGTGGGTTAGGCCAGCTCATATGAGTTAAGAGTGAGCCTCAAGAAACTAATTTCAGTTCTTGCCTGCCTGTGAAAACAGATTAAAAACCAGATGCTATTATGTTGACATCACCTATTCCAGATCTAACGTGTGCCAACTTCCATCTAGTAAATGAAATATTTTATTTATGGCTTATCCAGCTTCTGAGACCAGGACTATTCATAAGAATGCAGAAGAAGGAGACTGGGAGAAGGCTGGGGATCCCAGCTGTGATACCCTCTCTGTTTGACAGGTTAAAGCAGTGAACTTTCTTGTAGGCATCAGAGAAGGCAAGCTGACAGCTCCTTGCACTTTCTCCTTTCCAACCAAGAGTGTCACAAAGTGATCACACACTGTTACACAGGAGGGTCAGCAGACTCTTGTTTGTGGTTTCTATGTGCCATCCTCTGGTGATGGATGTTTGGCACGTGTTTATGACGAATCATAGAATTGTTTGGGTTGGAAAATACCTTAAAGATCATTTTGTTCCAACCCCCTGCTCACCAAGAAAAGACAGTTTCTGATGATCAGAGCTAGCAGATCTCTGCGTGGTTCAGAAACTTTGTCATGCTTACTTCCTGTGAACCATCATTCCCTGCTGGGGTCCCCAGTACAAAAAAAACCCATGGACCTGTTAGAGCAGGTAGAGAGGCCACAGAAATGGTCAGAGGGCTGGAGACAGGCTGAAAGAGTCAGAGCTCTTCAGCTTGAAAAAGGCTTCAGAGGAGACCATGTAACACCATCCAGTATCTGAAGGGAGCTTGTAGGAAAGAGGGGGAAGTCTTTTTATGATAAGGAAGAAAGTCATGTTATGATATGACAAGGGACAACGGTCCTAAACTGAAAAGAGGGTATGTTTATATTGGATTTAAGGAAAACATTTTTTATGGTTAGGGTGGTGAGTCACTGGTGCAGGTTGCCCAGGAAAGGTGTAGATGCCACATCCGTGTTTCTGACCAGGCTGGATGAGGCTCTGAGCCATCTAGTTTAGTGGAAGCCTGTCCATGGCAGGGGAATCAGAGCAAGATGATCTTTACAGGTCACTTTGAACCCAGCCATTCTGTGTTTTTGTGCAATGGCCTGTGCCTGTCAGGTGCAGTGGGAGCTACAGGATGCAAGGCTGGAAGCCCTGACTCAACAAGCAGCTTTATGTCAGCTTCTGCAGAAATGATCACACCAGCCTCATGGCAGCAATTACTCTCAGCTGCTGCCAGAAGCAGGTCTTTTGATAATGCTGCCATAGCATAAAACAAGACATTCTAGAGCCTGCATTATTGCAGGGGAAGGATTGCAAACCCTGTCAGTAGAAAGATCACAAATTTATTTTCTTAATTTTTTTTTTTTCTTTAGTGAAGTCTAGTGTGGCTTTCAGAGAAACAGTTGCCTGTAAATCAATTTGCACAGAATGTATTGTGGTTTTACATTGTTTTGCTGAATATCTGCTGTGGACAATAACAAAAACAAAAATCAGAAATAAACAACCCCCCCGCCCAAACAAACAAAAAAAAACCCAAAAAAACACCCTTAGCTTTTTTAACAGCTTTCCAGGGCATTTTGAACTTTTAATTAGCACTCCTGTGGAAACCATAAATGCCTCATGAGTTTGGATGGTTTTAAGCCAGCTGAGTGAAGATTTAATCACTTCTGGCTTTAGAAGGCATTGATATAGTTAATATGACATGTTTCTTTTATAGAACTGAAAGCACTTGATGGAAAAGATGAGCACATTATCCTCTCAAATGTTAAGGTGTGAGACCTGGAATACAGAAAAGTTAAATTATCTTCAAAATGCTCATAATAATTCTATGGCAGCAGGGAGTCTCATTTTAGCTCTTTGCTTTGTTCCTTGCCTCATGCTTCATTGTCATATTAATTACTGTAGCATGTTTTTGTAATTGTATCAAACTACAATGCTCTATATATACAAAGAAAAAACTACATTTAAAGAAGTAGCTTGCTATCATTCGAAGTTGAAGAAACTCCAAAATTAGTACCAATTACAGTTATTTAATTCCTTGATATATGTCGTGTCCCAGGTGTAATAAACCAGAAAATTGTGGTTGAAACAGTATTTAAGGGCTTTATATAATTATGTGATAAAAGATCCATAACTTATGTAAAGCCTCCCAAACACAACAGAAAGAAGCAAAATTATGAACAGTGAAATGTAACCAGAATCCATCTTAAGAAGGTCAGTTTTGGTCAAAATAGTTTAATCAGAATGATACAGCAAGGCTAAGAGTTGAAATAAAGTTTGCCAGAAACAGCTACGAAATCAATCAGTTTCAGATTTGAGTCTGTTTTGTTGTCCTGAGAGTGATTCATCACATAGAGTGCAGAAATCCCTGAATTACTGGTGGTTGAGCCTTCAAATCTAAATAATAGCATGATTTTATGAGTTTTGGTCTAGAAACAGTGTATGTGACAGAAGGTGACTTAATTTAGGAATTATTCATTTAAATACGGATAAAAAAATCTGGACCCATACCTTTAACTACATAATGAAATTGCCTTATGGAACATAGTTTGTCTCTCCTTGGTTAAATAATCCTTCACTCCCTTTTGCTTTCTTTCCAGACACACTGTGAAAAGGAAAAGTCAAAGTTACGTATCCGTGCTAAACCATCTCTCTTTCAGCATATGGGAATTTATTCATCATTGGCTGGGAAGATACAGAATTTGAAAGTAAGAATAAGACATTAATGCCATATTTTTACGTTATATGCTTGTGCTCTGACTTATTTTTCAAATTAATTTCAAGGACCACATCTTTGGCGTTATATGGCATTTCCACATCTGATTATGTTGTTCTACAGATGTGGTAGAGAATTTTGTCTGGCATCTAAGCTGCATGTGGAGTACTGCTCCTGCCCAAACACCTTTGAATCTCTCATCTGAATAGCATTTCATGGCATGTAGGAGCCCTCTTCACAACACAAGCTTTCAGATTCTTTGCTCCATGCTAACAAAACCATGATGATTTGTTTTGGCTGAGCAGTTCACATTCCCAATATAAGGGACAATTAAGAAGGTGTATTGCTAGGACAATTGGTAGGACAAAGGTGCCTAATTTGATGGCCAGAGATTTTTAGGGAGCGTTTGGAGGGTAAACCACACATCCGATAAGAACATGAGCAATAATGAACCAGACTTCAGGAATCTCCTGATGGTGCCATCTAGACTAGTGACAAGATTTCTCAATTGGATCAGACTAGAGATTCACACAGCCTTTAGCAGAGCCCAGCAATCACATATTCTGAGAGAAGGCATCCTAGACAACTATGAAATAGCCTCCTGTGAAGATTTTTGTTTTCAAATATTGGCAGCTAAGAAACAATCAGTACAGTTCTGTCTACAAATTGTAATGTTGAGTCCCAGTGATTACACTGAAATTAATATTCTGTATCTATTAAAATTAGATTGCATATTTTTTGACACTGAGGTGATTATTTTCTGGAACAGTTTCCTGTAGTAATTACAGATATCAATGCACTTTTTTTTCCCATTGTATGGGTGAAATTACATTTCTTTGTATCAACAGGATAAAGATTTTGGAAAAAAACTGCTACATAAAGCACATAATAATCCACCTGCAAAAGTGGACACAAGCCTAAGAATATACCAGCAATATACCTTGGAAAAAGTTTATAAAGGACAAGATTGTTTTTGGGCTTTAGCTCCAGTGGCAGGTGACTACATCAGGTTCACATTTTTAAATCCACTAAAAGTTGAAAAGTAAGTATTACATGATATGGAACAGGGAAAACCTACATGTATCCAGTTTGGAAATGCTTGAGTCTGTTTGAACTTACTGGTGCTCAATTGCTTGCATAAACTTTGTTACTGACAAAAAATCCATAATTTGCTATTTATCTGCTCTCCTTGAACTCCCTTTGCGAATTAAATGTCTTCATTGTAGTTAAAGAGCTTCTTAATTTTTTTCCTTTTATTTCTTCAGGTAAATAGTTTACGTGATAATTCTCAAAGGAATTTGTTTTTAACTGATGAATTTCATCAGTGGTGTCAGTGAAAGCTTTATTTGCGTAGTTGCCAACAGTCTGTTTGCACAATGTCAAGTCTGTATCTCCACCTAGTGAGCTGCAGTGAATGCCAGTTGTTACAATAAACACCAGTGTTGTATATTCGTTAACTGGTTCATGCTTTATGAAACTTGGGTAGGCTGTAGGTTTGCATTTTCCTGTTATTGCAAATCTGCATTGGATGAAGCTAACTTACATATGGTATTGCCTAGTGGCTGGTCCTGATGCCTTGAGAGGCTGCCTGGAACAGATACTAGACCGTGTTGAATGAATAAAGTAGGCATTTATTAAAAGGCCTTCAAAGGATACACTTTGGGCAGCACAAGAGACTGGCTGAGGCTACACCCAAGAGGGACGATGGGTCACGAGTTTTGACACTTTTATAAGTTTTGGTCCATTTACACAGTGGGGTTAATTGTCCAATTACAGCTTCAGGTTTTGAAGTCCCATTGTCCCAGATTGCTCTCCTCAATTCACTGTTGTTTATACTGTTTTTTGGGCCCTTGGTTTTCAGGCTGGAAAAGGATTGTTTTGTCTAACTAAACTGTTTGGAGAACACTTTATATGCAATTCAGTTATATACTAATGCAGTACAGAATCTGGAAAATAGGAAAGCTACAACTTAAGGCAAAAACCTAAAACTTAAAGCTAAGACTTAAGGTCCCGGCCCCTTTACATTGCTAGCCTGTGAAAATGTATGGTAAATCCTATAATATTTGGTGGGTTTAAGCCTTGAATATTTGATATCAGAGGAGAGAGTTTGATAATTTAAATTATCTTCATTCTTTTTGGATCTAAAACCCTAAGAACTCTTAATGCCAGAAATTAAAAACCAAATAGGGATTTTTATTCTTAGATGTTTTTGCTTGGATTGTTGTTTGGTCAATGCTCTTGCTTAATGGCTAGAAAGGAAATCGTTTAGAAGCACCTGACTTGACCAGTATTGATAAAAAAGGGGAATTCTTTTGGCATGTAGTATATGGCCTAGTAGAAACAGAAATTTTTGCTGCCACTCACCTTCCAGAAGCACATTCCACTCAGCCTTAACAAGTATAGGACAGATCAGAGAGCAGATCTTCCTTAGCTGTTTAAACATGGGAAGTTAATTTATTTGGAACTGGAGCACTGAAAAGGGGGAACACTTGCCATTGTGGTCCCAGAGAAATATGGTTTAAATATTTGTTCTGTTTAAAATAAAAATACTGTATTATGGTTTGTTTAATAGTTTCAAGGCCTATTTCTGTTCTCCTTAGCCCAAAATATATAAAGAAAAGGTATCTGAAATTTTGCTTCAAAACTGGAAAGAATTACTTCCTTAGAACTCTCCTAAAGTATAAAATATGTGGAAAAAAATATACCTTTATCATCAGGTACTTATTCAGAAGTGGAAACATGGAGCACCCTGGTGATCAACTGTTTAACACTACTGTGGAAGTGTTGCCAGCTGACGTAAGTCTCTCATTTAGAACCATATTTCATTTTCAGAATGATATTCAGCATAAAATATCATACCCTAGAAAATACTTCTTGAAATGTTATTGTTTTATTTTTTATAGGAAACACTAAGAAAAGAATTGGTTGATAATGGAAGTAAATTTAACTACCCAGCAACCAAAGATGGATATTTAAAAATAGGTAAATTATTTATTGTCACTTCAAAAACAGAAATTTTATTCCTACATATAAAACGTTTCTGCTCTTAAGGATTTCATTAACTCTTTGATAAATTCAGCATTCCAAGGTGAGCTAGTAAAAAAAAGAAACCTTTGCATTACTGCATATTGTAGTGTATGGTGTTTGACCAATGACTCTCCTATTTTGATTTAAATATTACTAGTGTCAAAAGCCAAGACATCTAATTAGAAGGAGAACTAATTACAGTCCCTGTAAAGGGTCTGCATGGCAAGGTTTTGGTAGCTGGGCTGGAGGACTGGGGGGAAACTCTGGGGGTGGCTTCAGTGGAAAGCTGCCAGGAGCTTCCCTTTTGTCCAGTAGAACCAGTGGCAGGCAGCTCCAGGACAGACCTACAGCTGTCCAAGGCTGAATCCACCAGTGACAGGAGTTATTGTGGGATAACATACTTTAAAAAGGAGGCAGAAAAGCTCTGTGTAGCAGCAATTGCAGCTGGAGTGAGGAGGGAGAATGCATAAGAAGAAAAACTCTGCATGCACCAAGGTCAGTGAAGGAGGAGGGAGAGGATGCCATTCTGATTCCCCTGAGGAGACAGGAGCAACAGAGACAGCATGTGATGAACTGACCATGACCTTCATTCCCTGTCCCCTTGCACACCTGGGGGTAAGGAGGAAGAGAAAATCCAGATTAAAGTTTTGCCCAAGAAGGGAGAGTTGGGGGAAGGTGTTCTTAAGATTTGGTTTTATTTCTCAATACCCTACTCTGATATGAATATTTTTTTCCCCCAAGTCAAGTCTGGCTTGCCCATGACAGGAATTTGTGACTGATTTATCTCTCCTTGTCCTTATTTCAATCCACAGGTCTTTTCCAAAACATTTTTTACCCTAATGTATTCCTGTATTTAATTTATAGTTTGTAATTTAGAGCTTTTTCACAGAGTTTGCTTGGAAGTGTATTTCATTCTAATAAATGTTTTTATGGGTCTTGTGGGTTTCTTAAGGGGCTTTTGAAAATGGCAGTGCAGAAGGCAGCATCAATCAGTCAATAGGAAGAATAAAGGCTATTCGTTTATCAGTCATTTCTGATTCTCCGGTCTGGGCAATACTGAGTGAGGTAAGCATGTCAATAAAAGCATTTTTATTCTTCATTATTAAATGCATTTTGCTGCTTCCAATTATATACTATTGGTAATCATTCATCTTATTTCATTTTCAATAGAATTTTGTACGGAAAAACACAAGTGAAGAATTATGTTAATTATTTTCAGGATTGAAATTAAACGTACTTCATTGGAAGTGCTGGAAATGCTCATTTGAGATGATTCTCCAGTTTTGCAGCGCTGTAACAATAGTTGCTAGGACTTGGGTTTTGACAAACAAAGCTCTTCTTAATCACCATCTTGGATATTAGTTATATTATGTCAACATTTTCAGATGAGCCTCTGATTTTTTAATTCTTCCAAGTTTTCCCCAGTGTTTAAATGTCAGTGTCTATAAATAGAAATTCTCAGCAGAAGTCACTGAAGAGAATTACTACAGCCTTAAACCCTAGCCATAGCTGGAAGAGGGCAAAAAACTAATGTTGTAGGCAAATCTGCAGATTTTAGAAAATAATATTTTCTTTTTCCTAGGTACTTATCAAGACATCTGAAAACTGAAAAAAATACATTTTTGGTATGTCACTTGTTATGTATTTCTTGAATGCAAGGCTGACTGCAACAAAAAAACCCAAAGAAAACAAAACAACAAGCAAACAAATGAACGGGTCAAAAGATCAATTCCATATCCATTTAGTTACTAATACTCTCTATTAGGAAAGAGTTGAGTTAAATCTCAGGTCTTTATATGACAAGGTATATGAAAAGAATGCTAGTAATTTCTGTAAAATGTTCTTTAGTAATATGTCATATAAAAAAATTATCACCTTAGTTTGAGTGATTAAATAGATGTTATTATAAACAATTGATAAGGTGTTACCGCCTGCCTCAGGGACTAAAGCATAAAGTTATAAAACGTTTCATCAGAAATAAAAATACAGACATTTTTGAAAAATATTAAAGACATGGCATTCAACTCCATTAAAAACACTAGTCAATTTTATAGGGAAATTAGAACTGAAGGAAATGTTGTCAATATTAATTGCAAGTATTTAAAGTAGTTCACAGGAACAACTTAATGTTATGAAAATTTATCTCAAACTTAATATAAATGTGTTTAAGCCTTAATGTGGTATAAGTTATGTTAAATATTTTTTAAATGAAAATTGTCTACAAATTATGATTTGAATAACTTGAAACTTAAACGGGTATTTTTTGGAAAATTGTAAAACTTCTTAGTGAATTGTGCATTTAATTAATTACAGGAAATAAGGGTATTATGGTAACTATATTTTTGTAAAATAAAATCTATATTTAAATACAATTTTGGATCCTGTTATTTGATAATCTTATATTACTGATATCTGATCTACTGATATTTCAATCCTTGTCCCAAGTTCAAATTCAACATAAATTTGAAAATAAAGAGTAAATAACAGTAATCTCATTTGAAAAATTTTTGGGAAATTAAAATCTACCTTTGACATCTACCTGTTAATGGTCAGAATTCTGGAATCATTTACTTAGCACATGAAGCACGACTGCACCCTTATTCCCCTGCACAGGCATTGCTTCCTGACAGCAGAAAATAAACTGCAATATTTGGATTTGTGTTGAACGGGTTACATTAATGTAGAGTTGTATTCCTAATGCCACAGTGTTTTTCATTTACAATGAGATGGGATTGATTTTTTTACATTAAAACAGTTCAGAAGAGTGCTTTCTTCAAAGACAACCTCTAGTAATATTTTGATAATATTGCTTAGAGGTTTGTTGTTTATTTTACTTTATTTTTTTAAATTTTTATGTACGGGATTGTTTATATACTGTGGTGCTATATATGTAGATATGTGTACATACATATATTGGAACAACTGTTGCAGCCTTCGTTAGGTTAGGAGTTTAATGCCAGTTAAGAATTGCTGCAGTAATCCAGCATGCTTAGAGGTATACTTGGAGATACCTTTGTTCATCTGCACTTACAGTGAAAACATAAAACCTTATTTTGTCATTGCTTTCACTGCAACAGATTCGCTGTTGGGAGTAGTGTCTGCATTCAGGGTGCCTTACATTTACTTGTTACAGGGCAGTGTCACTAAGAAGGAAATTCCAGAGCAATTATTTAAATCAGTGAAAATATAGAATATGCCAAAATAATAGATTTTGCTACCAAAACATCTCATTTTCACAGCAAAATGAGATTTCTCTCTAGTTGTTGAAGTGTGCTTTCGGCAGAAGCTCATCAGAATACCTGAAATTGTATTAGGAAATTACTGGACTTAGAAAAACTTTTTAAATGAAATTTTCCATTCTGTGCTGCCAGCTTGGTGCTTCAGTGCTTGTTTTTGATACCGTTGCAATCAGAGAATACCTTTCTCATCACTCGGATGTAAATGAGGTTTTACTTGATGCTGTAAATAATTAATGCTTCACAAGAACCATTAATTCTTCCCCGTGCTTTTGCAAGAGCAGAGGTTTCTTGCACAGTCTGCAGAACCACGGCTCCACTATAAAATCAAAGGAACCTCCTAAGAGGAATTCTGGATTTTCACTGAAGAAGCAATATGAGGAAGAGCAAGTATTCCAGCCCAAGGAAGTTTACAACAAGGGAGTGCAGTGGAGGAATACTTCAGCAATAGCTGAATATGTCTGTGCATTTTTGGCAACAGCCACCACTAGCAAGGGAATGAGCTGGGTGTGTTCCCAAGGAGTGGTTACAGAACACCTGCAGCTTCCTTTCCATCCTGCAAGCAAGATCTCACCTGTGGTTTTCTGTGTAATAATCCTGGGCACTGAACCTTCACACTCAGTGGCTCTGAGGCCAGATCAAAGGCTCAATAGAAGCCTTCCCATAGGAAGGCTTCAGTTCAGGTCCCAGGAATAAGGAACTTCCTCTGACTTTACGAGTGACTCTATTGAAGTCTAGGCATTGTGATTGTAACTTAAAAACCAAAGGTGGTAAACCGTAAGTGAAAAAAACACTCCGAGAAGAGTTTCACATTACAAACCAGATCACCAGGCTCACTGAGTGGGAAATTTTACTTCAGTAATTTCATGTGGTTTAAAATATGAGTCTCAAAAATAAGGTCTACCTCAGGCTCATTGTACACATACTAAGTCATGTTAAATGTCTGTGTGGTAAGAAACCACAATTTTCAAGCTAGTTCTGTTACTAAAGTCCTCCAAAAACACTGGGAAAAATAAGACTCCCTCAACACTCACCATTTTATTGTTAGGGAGTAAGGCATTACTTTATTCTTGGCTGAGAGGTGTGTGTGGCTGACAGAGTTCTTCGTGCTGGCAGAGATACAAAACTCCGTCACTTATTTGTACATTTTTAGCAAAGACAGGAATTAGTGCTCACTGGTTCCAAGTTACATAATTCTCTTCATTAATTAGTATTCTATCCTCTATTCATACTATGCTTTTCATGCTGATTTAGTGCACCTTTTTTTAGTCTTTTTATCATTTTTTTTCTTAGATGGGAAGTCCCCAACTTTTCAGATATTAATCCCCTCTCTATCTTCTGGTTACTTCAATATCCTTGAAGGGCCACAACCTTAAGATCCCAGTTGTCCAATCTTTAGTTCCCTTTGGCTCTGTTTATTGAAGCTTGTCAGGTTAGTTTTAGCAAACTTAAGGTTTCACTGATTTAAAGATCACAGTAACAGTAAGAGTCTGTGAAGAAAACCAGTACTGGCTAAAAGCAGGCGTTGCTTACAATTAATTAAAGAAACTAGTTAAAAATTAGTTAAGAAACATATGACTTTCAACAGCTCAGTATTAATAATGGTTTATTCAAACAATTTTGATTTTCACTAAAGCACAGTTATTCAATTCTCTGAATAATGTGTTTCCAATTCTCCTCTTAAATATTTTTGTGGATTTTTGCAAAGGCATGCCAACATTTGTCTTCAGCATAAGAGGCAGATACAAACTTGGCTTTAGTAACTGTGAAAAATGCATATTTTATGATTGGCTTTTCGCAAATGTTACAATGAATATTATATGTGTAATGTTAGAAAGTTATGCTGTATTAATTCTCTTAAGTAGTGTGCTAAGTATAGTTTTAGGTTACAACATAATGTTAAAATAGAAACTCTGTGATTTAAGATATCTTTTACTAGCTCAAGAAAAGAGATAAGATAATCAAGAAATTCTTTGCACAGGGATAACAGTGACAGGGCATATAATTACAGCCTCCTTATTGGAAAAGACAAACATTCTTCCACCTTCACTCCATCTTTATGGAACTACCAGGATTAAGGGGAACAAGTTGACAAAAACCAGAAAAATTCTTAATTTACAAGGAATTTATGCATCATGTATGAGATACATTAATATTCAACAGGCTATTGCTTTTAAGGGCTATTCCTTTGTTCACAAGACATGTTTTTGGCAGCGGTGAAAAACACCAGTCACTTGGTTTTTAAAATATTAAAAGTTTAATAATAATAAAATAGTTATAAAGATAGTAATACAATTAGAGTAATAAAAATGTAGTCAGGACAATTACAAGACAATAAAAAGCAAAGAATTACGGATGTCCGGATGCTCTCGGGCACTTCTGGTTTTTGTCAACTCCTTCCCCTCAATCCTGGTGGTTCCATGAAGACAGAGAGAAGGTAGAAGAATGTTTGTCTTTTCTGATAAGGGGCCTGTAACTCTTTGTCCTGTTGCTGTTATCTCTGTGCGAAGAGTTTCTTGATTATCTTATCCCTTGAGCTAGTAAAAAAAATCCTACATCGCAGAGTTTCTATTTTAACATTATGTTGTAAGCTGAAAGTATATTTAACACACTACTTAAGAGAATTAATACAGCATAACTTTCTAACATTACACATACAATATTCATTGTAACATTTGCGAAAAGCCAATCATAAAATATGCATTTTTCAGAGCAGCTTAGCATCCAAAAATATCCGGACGTCCGTAATTCTTTGCTTTCTATTGTCTTGTAATTGCCCTAACTCTAAATTTTTATTACTCTAACTGTATTACTATTTTTATAACCATTTTATTATTATTAAACTTTTAAAAATAATAAACAACAAGTGACTGGCGTTTTTCACAGTAGCTCATTTAAAATGTTTTTATTTCGCTCTGCTTCGCGGCACGTACGTTCAAGCGGCAGGGTGAGCGTCTAGCTGTAAGTAAGGGTTTCATTAACTCGAGGTTACGGGTTGGAAAACTCTTTATCCTGGCCGCTCCCTGGCTGGAGGCAGGCGGGGATGGGCGGCGGGCGGCGCCCGCGGCCATAACAACAAACCCCCCTCAGCGGCGCCAAGGCGGAGGGGCGGGGCCGGCCGATGGCGGCGGGCGATTGGCTGAGGCGCCCCGCGTAGGGCGGGCCGGCAGCCGCGATCCAGCCGCGCATTGGTCCGGCCTCAATCCGGGCGCTTCCGATTGGCGGAGCTTGCTGCCCGTCTCCCGCTTCCCCGCACGCTCCGCTCGCCCGTGCCGTGCGTGCCGTGATTGGCCGGCGCGGCGCGGCGCGAGCCGCGGCACCTGCTCCCGCACTCCCGAGAGCGGCGGGGGCGCCGCGCGCGTGCGCGGCCGGGGATGCGCCGGGGCGAGCGGCCGGGCCCGGCTCCGCCCGCCGCGGGCCCGACAGCGCCGCCGGTAACCGCCGGTAACCGCCCGTTGCGGGAGGAGCGGCGTCGCCGTGCTCGGTAACCGGGCCGGGAGAAGCGGCGGGCGCTCAGCCCCGCGGGAGGTGCGTGTGCATCCCGTGCGGCCAGGGGAGGGGCGATGGCCCCGGCGGGCGGTGGCGGCCCCGGCTCGCCCTTGCCTCACGACGGCGGCTGGTCCCGAGGGTGGGATGCGGGAGGGCTCGGGAGCTCGGCCCCTTCCCCGAGGCCGGGCGGGAGAAGCGCGGAGTCGCGGGTGCACGACGGGCGGAGCTCCAGCGGCCTTGGTTCTCCTTTCGAGGTATCCCAAAAAGCAGGTTCGAGTCGCATGCTGACACGACACCGCGTGGCCGTTTGTCCCTAAAATCTGTATTTTTTGATTGGGAAAGAGGGTCTTGAAGGTTTTAGTCGAGCTCCCTGTAGCAGCAGAATATCTCGAGGCGCCTGCGGGAGTGCAGCATTGTGGCTGGAGGAACTGCTGAACTTGGCATTCGGCATCCACTACAGCGCAGGGTGCTTAACGCTAAAGGTAAAGCGAGGGAGGTACAGTTTTCACACTCAATAAAGGAAAAAATTAAAATCGTGGAAGAATTCTTGCATGCATTTCCAGTTACACAACGTTTCCAGTTACAGCTGGATGTTATGTCAAGTTGATGCCAGTGTAGCAGAATGAGAGCGGGAATAAAGCAGCTCATGGTTGCAGATGGAAGAAAGGGGGTGTGAAATATCCTCCGCTTTTCACATCCCTGGATGAAATTGGTATTTGGTCCTGTGAAAAGACAGTATATTGATACTGGATGCAGGAGCTTTGGACTTCGGAGTGAGAATAGCTGTCTTACTCCCTTTCTGCTAGAGAATCCAGAACTCTGAGAGTTACATGGAAAAGGCATGACTGTTTTCAAAGTCCAAGAAAAGGTCAGTAATCTAAAAGATCCTGACCTCTTAACTAAGTTCTACAGTGAATGGAATAATGATGCTGCTAACTTAATGGCATGGATACGATACACCATGGTACAGAAGTACAAAAGTTGACACAGTTGCACCATGCAACCCAAATCAAATTGTTGACACCACGAATTCTCCCCTGACCTGCTGCTTGCAACAGAGGTAGCCCTGAGGCTGGTCCAGCTTGCTTAGAGATTTTTTCTATACTGTCTTGGAAAAGCCCAAGGACTGAGACTAGGCAGGCTGTACTGCTGCTTGCCTGTCCGTGTGGGGAGAGAAATTCTAATATCCAGTCAGACTATGTTTACAGCTTATGCCGTTGTCTTTTATCAGTACTGGTCTGTGTCTCAGAAGAAGCAGCTTGTTACTTTAGGTGCAATATTCTGCTGATGTTGCAGCACTGTTGTTGGTCCCTGGAGCATCCTCTGCAATACTACTGCTGGCTTAAATGACCTGCTGATGTGTAGCTGTGCTGTGGTTACTCATGGTAAAAAGTGACCAAGCTATGCAAAATGTATGTTTAAAATTACAGGTCTGAACTTAGATGCATTGACAAGACTGCTAGTAAATATGTTTGGTGTTTTGTGAGAGCCATAGACTCTTCTAATTTGCTTTGTTCTGCTGAGGAAATTGTAACAGTGGGAATCCTTTTGGCTTATTTTCATTGCCATCTTGAAAATAGAGTAAGAAAAGTTTCTCGTAGATCTTCATGTGTTACTATGGAATGTTCAGTAGGTTTTAAAGATAATTAAATGTGTAGTGTGAAGATCTGTTTTGAGACCATAAACTCATTGGTTTAGGTGAAAGATTTATTTTATATTCTAAGACTGTAGTGTGGCAGAGTTCACAAAAGTGAAAGATGTCACGGGCTGGTTAAAACTATCTTTGCCTGGCAGTTGAGTGTTAACTTTAATTGGTCTTGATAACATTTCAGCATTTCTGGGACTATTTTAGAAGTATGTTAAAAGGTCAAAATTAAAATGCACCCTCTCTTCTTGAAGGAAGAAGTAAGAGATATAATTGAAAGCTGAAGGAACTTAGGGTAGTCCTGGGTAGGATCAGGGAGTAGTGATAAGATTCAGTGGGAACCATGTGACAGCATCAGAGATTTTGGAATGGAGCTGTTTGCAAAGATGAGTACTAGTGTGTCTTTTTGGATGCCTGTGTTAGTCTGTGTATGGAACAAAAGTGAATGGGGGTAATTACAGTAAAATTTCAGCTACGTAAGTGAAAAGCATTGTGAATCATACACAAACACACCTGAAATGTACTGGAAGAGGAAGTTGTACCTCTTGCTCTGCTTCAGGAGAAGCAGAAACCATGTGCATGACAAACTAGCAAAGGTAAGGTAGGCAAGCTATATGCTAAAAATGCAAGTGTGATACTTGTTTAATATTTGACAGTTTAGCTAGGAGCTAAGGAGTCCAGAAGGTATTGATGTGGAATTCTTTGAGTGCTTGTCCTAATAACGATGGTTAAGGAACAAGAAGATGGAGTTGGTAAAACTGATACTCCTCAGACAAAGGTGTTCAAAAATACACCTTAAGATTACATGTTCACCTGTGATAAACTCAGTTACTTTAAATCTTCAGGGCAAGATTATTTTAAGTGCTAGAACTACTGAGGAGGTCTATGAATTAACAAAATTTCTAGTTTTAACCTAAAAAAAAAAAAGTCAAATACAAAACACTACTAAAATTAACAGATAACTGTTGAAATGTATCACCTGAAAAAAAGAGGGAACCACAGACTTACTATCTTCAAGCAAGGTTGTAAAGTCCAAAGAATGGCAGGCATTGTGGATAGTAGTGGGGGAGAAAAAAAGAATAGTAATATGGTTAATGTAGATTTGTGGGAAATAGGTGTTAGTCCCAAAAAAAGAGGCTTTTGATTGTATCCTAGTATTGACATAGTACTGGTGTGTGAAATGCTTATTTATGATGATCCTGTATTTTATGTATATCCTGGCTATATAATCAGTGCAGTTAATATAAAAATAATAGATATTAAAAGAACTAAAGCCCTGATACTGTTTGATCTCTATATGTGTTGCTTGATAAAACCTGCAGGTGTTAAAAAATGAATGATTAAATAATTATTAGTGCAGTTACAATGTTTTAATTGCTTATCAAATTTGATAAAGCCAGAAAGGAAGGAAGATAATCACATTTTAATATAAGATAGTATCTATAATTGCTGGGTTATTTAGAGTTGTAGTGGTAAACAATTTAATCTCTAAGGAGTGATGATGTAACTGAGAGGGTGGCTGCTTTCTCAGGTGCAAAGGGTACCTCAGCACCAGAGCTTTTAATATAACTAGTAGTGACTACAAGTAATGCAAGGCTTGAAAATGTCTTACAGTAGCAAAATAAATACCAGCATTTATTTAAGCTTACTGTGAATATAAATGAGTAAGAAACAAGTGACAAATACCCATGCAGAGGTGTCTAGAATCTGTCTTCATTCTGTTTCCAAATTCAGACAAAAATAATTTCAAAAAACCACATTTTTGCAAGACTTTTGAGGAAACTTGCATAGGTATTTTTGACACTGCACTTCCTCAAAACACTGGATACTCTAAGATGAAATTGGATTTGTACGTCTTCCAGATGTGGAGCAAAAAATACTGGGCAACAATGATTTCACAGAAGTTTAGATTGAGAGGCTGGAGCAATAGTCTGCTATTGACAATAGCAGATTAAAGTTTTTCAGGTTTCCCTGAAATTAGGAGAGTATTTGCATTTAAGCTTAAATTCTTGCTCTACCTAACTTAAACTTGAAAATTACTGGATAATAATTTCAGAAAATATTTTCTGAAACCATCTTGCACTTTCTTTTGGCATTTAGAGCTGGAGCCAGTATACACTCTGCGCTCACCTAAATGTAGTAATTGGAAATAGGGGCAAATAGAAGTGCAATTCTGGCAGTGGCTAATATTACAACCTAAATGTGTAATTTAATTTTTCCTAATGAAAAGAATGGTATTTATTGATGCATTGTAGAGACTTCAATTTAATTGCTTGTTCAGGTTGTTTACAAATGAGAAAAATAAAAGCAGTCTTGCTTAGTTCTTAAAAAGCATATATATTGCAGAGTCTTGCTTGATTTGGCAAGGTAAAGGAACAGGCTATAGGTACTTCCATAGGGAAAACAGGAAGGAAAAGAGAGTCTGAGTCAGGGCCCATTAATAAAAAAAAATATTTAAAGCAAATTAAGATCATATTATAGTGACAACACTTTTTAATAGTTATTTCTCATTATTTTAATGGGAGTTCTTCCTCTTTTATAAAAAGTCTGGGGTAAAATTGAAATAGTATTAATAATATCCTTGAAATTATATTTAAATTCTAAAACTTTAAATTCTTCAGATAACAAAGATGCACTTCCAGTGGGACTGGCTGTGCTTGGGTGTCCTGATAATTAGCTCAGTGACTGCAGAAATGGAAAACAAAGAAAATCTGGATGCAGATGTTGAAGTGGAGAATTTTGACAAGCAGTCCCAAGAAGCTGATGTTGACAGAGATAAATCTTCTCTAGAGGTAAGCTGGTTAAATAACAGATGCATAGTTATAACTAGAGCAAGTTAATCTGCATTTGACAATTGAGTGGGTCTCAAATATGGCAGTCTGAGTTTTTCCCTTGCTATATGTGACATACAGGGCAAACTTAATGAGTAAATCTCTTATGCCCAAGTGTAAAATCTCCTGCCAGTGGTCGATCGTCATGAAAAAGGTTTTTCTTCAATCTAGATACAGAACCTTTTGTTGCAAGTTGTAATGTGCCACTTCTAAAGAAGTAAATGGAAAGCACCTTGGTCTCACTGAGACTTTGACTTTAGACCAGTTTCTTGACTTCATCCATCACAGCTGCTTTTTGACACTGTCTTTAATTGCCAGAAAATGTGTATGCTATTCTTCAAAACAGATGTAGGCAATAGAAGGGAAAATGGAAGAATGGAAAACATAAAGAAAGAAACAGGGAGGAAGCAGATTTGGTGCAAGTTCAGAAAAAATTTTGGAGCTTTATTTAACAGAAAATGTAACAAAGCTTTAGTTATGAGCTTTGAACAGAGGAAGCACCTTCTAAAATCCAGAGATGTGAAATTGCTCACTGTTGGAGGGATGCACACAAACTATTGAAATGTGGGTGAGGGAGAGATGGTTTTATGCTGCTAGGTATTTCTAATGAACAAAATCTCTTGGTCTGTCTGGGTGGATTACTTCTGGAGATATGAGAGTGTATTTCAAATGAAAAATTGTAATTTATGTTGGAACGTGAATCTGTACATATCTCTTAGGTTGTGTACCAGACTCCAAAGCCAACTGGGGAAGTATATTTCACAGAAACCTTTGATGAAGGATTGTCAGGGTAAGCTTATGTCTTAAAATGATAAACTTTTACTTTCAGCAATTTAACTTACAGTGGCAGGACTCATTTTGTATTCGTTTTTCTGCGATTATGTTTATAAAAATAATTTTTATGGGGATTAAATTGGGAAGACTATTAATGCTTGCTCCAAATACATCATAATGTTAAACTGGACACTTAACATGTCAGATATATTACTTTTCTCTGTGTGTTTCAAGGATGCTTTTAATAAACTCTGGATTTGTGGACATTAAGAAAAATAATATAAAGATTTAGCCAGGTCTAGCTGAGAGATGAAGTACCATTACATTTCAGGAGCAAACACTTCACGTGATCTTAGGTATGTGTCAGTTCTAAATGTTAAGTGCAAAATCAGCACCTATGATGACAGAAAAAAATTACTAGATAGAAGAGGTGATAATGCTTGTTAAATAACCAAACAAACCACTGAAAACCTTGATTAACAGATGCAAAAGTTTAGCTGGGATACTTGAATGATATCATTTATCCAAGCTTCTAGCTTTTTAGAGAGCTGTTCAAAGATTAGTTTGTCTTCCTACTAAATCTAATGTTCAAAGTTTTAGCTACAGCGCTTGGGATTTTTTGGTCTAGCTGTGCATAATTTACATAAGACTAAGGAGCATGGAAGAAAGATTTATGAGAAAGTAAGCAGCATGCTGCCTTTCTTCCCTAAAGTGTGGAAAAAAGTATATATAAATTGACTAGGTAGGAATACAGTAACTGTTTTTGAGAATGGGCATTGAAAATTTTTCACATAACTTGTAGAGATGTTTTATGTCCTCATTGATCTCTCTCCTAGTAGGCCAAGGATCTAGTTTGCTATTTATACTGTGAAGCTTTTCCAGCATCTCTGTTAACAGTGGACAAATGTGACTGCAATTCAAGCAGAAAAGAGAAAGTATTCATCCCTGAATCACGCCATGCAGAGAGAAGATAGTTCAGAATGAATGAAAGCAGTTCTTTCCAGAATAAATTATTGGAATGTATTCTTGTGGTTGATACAATAGAGAGTTCAGCAGCACTGTTGGCTTAAGATATTCCTGTGCATTGCTCCAGATAGAACTGCCATATGTCCAGATGAGGGTGGACTGCCCTTTTCCTCTTTGACCTTTCCAGAGGAACACTTCGTATGGAGGTTGTGCATATCTTGTGATTACCTTAATGAGTTAGCCAAGTTTGCCTTGCTCATAGAATCTAGGCCATCAGGCCTGTTGGATCTCCTGTGTGCAGTGCACTTGGAATCTTGGATTTGTCACTTACCATTCCTTTTTGTCCTCTGCTATGCATGTGTACTATTACTGTCAGATAAAGTTAAGGTTCCTTTTGGCTGATTTTCTTTTCTATTGAAAAGAAAATTATTATTTCCTCTATTGAAGGTATTATAGATGAAACTTGCTATTTTCTGTGCATTTTTTACATTAAATGCATATTACATTCTGCCAAATTGAACTTGTATATAAAACTAAAGTTTATTCAGAGTTAAATAATTCAGGAATTTAATTACTTTAGACTTTTAATTGTCTATTCATTTACATTTTTAGGAATATTTTGAAATGTTGTATTAGACGACTGTCCTTTAAATTTTCTTTGCATGTTGTTTGAACTACATGCAGTTCCATGATGCTGACTCAAAATCAGTATTACAGGTTCACAGCCTAGAAGCAAAAGCTTTTTTCCTTTGTTTGTTAAATAACACAGCTTTGCTTAAATGGATCAATGACCAGTACAATTTTTTTTTTTAGGTGGGTATTATCTGTAACTCTGAAAGAAGACACAGATGATAACGTTGCTAAATATGATGGTAAGCAGCTTTAATGGGTACCTCTTCTATGTATTTTGTGATGCTCTGTTGCTTTTTGAGAAGTAACTACTATTTATTTGAGAAACGACGCAGAACTTATCTTTGAATGTCTAGATTGCATAGGTCAAAAGTGTTAGTTTGTATAATGACTGTTATCTTGAAACTGAGATGTGAAATGTTGCTCATTAGGTTATTTAGTGTGAATATAACTTTTTTTGTCATTCAAACAACATATTGCCATGGATGGTACCAGAATACCCTTTGGCAGCTGAATATTTAATACTGTTTGTTTATGAGTATTGTTTCTTTAGAACTGTCTTCTCTGAAATCCTGTGAAAAAGATTTACCACTTCAATTTCAGTTAAACAGTTTTCTAAAGCATTGTGCTCCATTTTGCTCCATCTGTCCTACTACTGATTCATGGATTGGTCTCTTGGTATAGCCTCTGAAACAAGAAAGTTAAAACTGCATGATTTTTTTTTTAAATACTTTTTCAGATTGCCTGTGCAGGAATGTAGGGCTCTTCAGTGGTTCTTGTACAGTGTAGTCTTAGAGTAGCCAAAAACATATTTGGAAAGCAATAATGAAAACATTGTACTGATGGTTTAATCATTGCAGTTTACACTTGTGATTTCCTAGTCTAGAATTGGCTGCTTAAAATTTTGGCAGATGCATGATCTGTGGCAATAATTTTGCAACCTGAGTTTTATTTCATTTGAGAGGGAGTGGGGAGAAGAGAAAAAGTTTCTATTGCAACAGAGATGTGCTACTGTTCTTATCTCAAATGAAATAAATTCTGTTAATAAAAAGTGGTAAGCAAGCATAACTTGCAGTACAGTGTAGAACTGATGTTTCTAAATTTAGTGGTTACCCAAAATAATTAGTAAAATGAAGAAGTTGCAGAGGAGATAGCCACACAGATGAGATGCTTATGTGAAATGAGGTCTCTCTGATTACTTGGCTTCGTATTAGATAAAAAATTGTCTTTAACATCAGAACAATCATACTTGCTTGAAGTCAGGAAGTTGAACATTTAATAAAGTCTGTGATAAAGACACATTTTTGAGCTACTTTCAAATTCTTTTTTCCAGTCTTGTTGTTTTGCCTTGCATTATTGTTTGGCCTTAGTTTCCAGGAAGGAGCAGTATTGAAGAGGATAGAATTCTTCTCCTTCCTGTCTATGAGGCTAGAAGAAACTAGGAATTTGTTGTTGACTTGCATATCTGCCCTTCCTTAATAACTTTTACTAATCACACTTCAGTTGAATAAAAGTAAATCACTGTTTCATTTGCACATCACAATTTATGACTCTTGTCTAAATTACAAGCTGAGGATCTCATTATGTTTTCTTCTTTTTTACATTAGACACGGGCATTCTTCAAAATTACAGTGGATTGTAAAAGTAGGGTGTTTTGTGCTGTGTTCTTTCCTGGATTAAAAACCAGTGAATCTTGTGCTGTTAATCTTGGAGCAAATGTAACTGCCCTTTTAGAAGAAATCTCATTCTTTGGATATTGGGCAAGTGTGTATTCAACTGTATTTATCCCAAACTTGGAGGATGTATAAATATAAAATCTTCTATTTTTAAAGTTGTAGGCTTGTTTTGGACCAAATATGATAATTCCTGGAAAGACTTTGGGGAGGAGGAGGGAACTTCATCTGCCCTGTGGTTAGATTTCACTCAAGAGATTCTAATTTTATGTAAGCAGAAAAAAGTAATGATGCAGGTCTTTAGCTTTACACAGTGCTTTGTGACTAATGTTTTTTATGTGATGATGGTAGAAGTAAATCTAAAATCTGGAGAAATACTTTGTTCCTCTAGCCATTGTAAGATACCACAACCTAAAGATACAGATGTACAGTAATAAAGTTTACTTACAGATTTTTGTAAATTTGAGAACAAGAAATAACATCTTTGTATCAGATGCCAACATTTCTGCCCTGCTTTGGCAACTAGTCTTTATTTGTTGCTCTTTGCTTTCAGTAAGGCTGTGATTTCTTTACTTCAGACTGGATTTTTCAAAGACTCTCTGCATGTCTGTTTTAGGAAGATGGGAAGTAGAAGAGCTGAAAGAAAATGCACTGCCTGGAGACAGAGGATTAGTGTTAAAATCAGTGGCAAAGTATCATGCAATTTCAGCAATGCTAACAAAGACATTTGTTTTTGATGATAAACCTTTGATTGTTCAGTAAGTAATCCTTCAGATTTTTTACTTAGTGTGTATTAGTAAGTTAAAACATTTTGCTTACATTTAAGTGTTTTGACAGTAGGTACTAATATGCAGTCTTAATAGATTCATAATGAGAACTGCAGATTAGCAGTTAATATTTTTCTGATACTCAGAATGTTTTTGTGACTTTCTCTTTGCCCAGATACGAAGTGAATTTCCAAAAAGGCATTGACTGTGGCGGTGCATATATTAAACTTCTCTCCAGTAGCAGTGACTTGAATCTGGTATGTCCTCTTGCTTAATATTTGCTATCAGTTGTTCATTTGAGGACAGCTTGGGGTGGTGTCTGATATCCAGGACAGAGGACTTCTGTGTACGTTTAGTATGACTTTCTGTATTAATAGAAGTCATAGAATCTTAACTCATAACTTGTAAAACAATTTTACTGATCAGCACATGCATGTTACTGTGTATTCCAAATACAGAAAATATAAATATTAAAAGATACTGACATAACTCTGTAATGCAACATACTCTGAAGGAGAATAACTATATCTGATATTTTCATGGTTGGTTGTTGCTGTTACTTAATGTGGAGAGGAAAAGGTACTTATAAAATATGGATATTAATATTCTGGGGTTTATCTTTATTGGAAAATAAAATTGTTAGGAAGAACAGTAACTAGTTCCCTTCCATCTTTTAGTGTAATGTTTGTAGAGGGAGAGAGATACTTGGGTGTTTTGATTTGTAACAGGCACTCCTATATAACATAAAGTCTAAATATATAAATATATTAATCTTCCTTGAAGAGACTGAGAGTTAGTCCATTCCCTGAAAACAGAGAGCACCCAGCAGCTCCAGAGGATTGTTGAATTCCTTTCATGATTTACCCTACCACTTTTCATTTATCTTTTAGAAATAAGTAACTATGGTCTACACCAAGAAAAAGAAGTACCAAAAGTGACATAATAAAATGTCCAGTATAACACATGCTCAGTTTTCTTGCTTCTACAGGAGTACTTTTTTGACAAAACACCTTACACTATTATGTTTGGACCAGATAAATGTGGAGAAGATTACAAACTGCACTTTATCTTCAGACATAAGAATCCTAAAACTGGCGAATATGATGAAAAGCATGCTGAACGTCCTGATGTAGACCTAAAAAAATTCTATTTGGACAAGAAGACACATCTATATACTCTTGGTATTGTTCAATTCTTAAAAATGTAATTCTAATTCTTATATTGGAAAGGAGAGATTAAAAATGTGGTTTTGTCTGCTGAAGCTCTTTAATTGAGTCTTTGTTTGTAATAGCTCGTTAATTCTGAGTGGTGGTTGCTTAATGATTTGGGTTAAATGGTTTAATGACAGGGCTTAACTGCAGGACATAAAAGTAGCTTTCAGATGCTATTGCTTTATACTCAGTTACAGGAAAAAACATATCAGCCCTGACTAGCCTTTACTAATAAATGCCTTCAATAATTATTGTAATAAAACTATTTTTACTGGGAAAGAAAATAAAATGTGCAACTACCCAATATTCTGGGAAGGTGTCAGAGTTCAGAGGAATTCAGTTAAGTCTGTACCATGCCACACACCACTCTTTTCCACGCTGACTTCTCACCAACACCTGCATCTGAAGCAGTGTGCATGAACAGGTCAGCACAACTCTGAAGTGAATGAATATGGGCTGGTTTTAATTCATATGACAGCTCTTCTTTTACCAGTGAACTTTATAGAGAAATAAAAGTTAATTTTGTTCCCTTTTTTCTGACTTCTGAGGAAGAATAGCAGCCAGAGAATGGGCTAATCTGTGGCATACTGCAAATCCAGCCAAATTGACTGTACTTATGAACTTCCACTGAATAATAATAACAGAAGGCATGTTCAAATGCTGTGCCATGGGAAAATTTAGTGGTTTCTAAAATAGATTGCTGTATATGCCATATCAAACTTACATTTTAGATAATGGTAATCTCATAATAATAAAGGAATGCATGCATTCCTGTATTTGGATTGTTTGCTAGAAATTATGAATTAAGGTACTTAAACTTGGATTGCATTTATTCTGTTACAGTTGTTCAAACAGACTCCATAGAGCTATGTGATGCCAATGCATTTATGTGACTGATAACAGGAGTTTAAAAATTAGTTCTTTGTGGTTCATCTAAAGGTGATATGGGGTTTCATTTTTGCATTTGTGCTGTTTTAAAGCTGTTGAAAATTTCAGGCTGGAAGGCCATCATCAGATATTATCAAACTATTACAAGACTGTTACTGTGGTTTTCTTAACCTGTTTTTAGAAAACTGTTGTAAGAGTGGAATAGTAATTACTTTTACTTTGTGGTTTTCATTATGTTAAATGGACATTTGACTCTGCTATTTAAACATTGAGCACATGTATAAGTGCTTATTAGAAATAGATCTGGATACATCTGGATACTGGGTCTGACATTATTCAGTTCTGTGTCCTTGGCTTCTCAGTTACACTTACTAACATCCAGGAAATTCTCTTCAAGCATTTGCAGTGAGGCATTTGAGGAAAATGGCTGTTAGAGGTTAGAACCTGATAGACAATGCTGCTTTGATCTTTCTGCTGTGTTTCTGGTACTGTTCTTGTGTTCCCATGCTTTCAAGTGTGAGATTGTAATTTAGTAGCTGAGATGCCTTTTGGGACAGAGCTTATTTTTTCACTGTTTGTGCTTTTAAGTAAAAACCACAAAATTTTAGCCAAGTTGGTAGGTTTTTGAAAAATCTCTTAGAATGTGTTTGGATGTGTTTCAGCAATTGAATTTTCTTCTTTCCAAGTTTCATCTTTGGGGACCTGATGCTGGTCATACATCCCCTCAAGGGCAATGTTTTGTGTCCAGATCCAGTGCCTGAGTGAGAAGTCTGTCTCCTCTGCTAGTGAGGGTCCTGTTTGCTGTTATTTGACTAAGTCTATGCTTATTCTATAATTTTGGTTAAATATATCTGTAAAATTAAATGGCTCCCATATTTCTTCAATTTAGTGCTAAAACCAGATGATACATTTGAAATATTAATCGACCAAACAGTTGTCAGTAAAGGAAGTCTTCTTGAGAATATGATTCCTCCGGTAAATCCTTCCAAAGAAATAGAGGATCCTACTGATAAGAAGCCTGATGATTGGGATGAGAGACCAAAAATACCTGATCCAAATGCTGTCAAGCCAGATGACTGGTAAGGAGAACTTTTTAAATTTTACAATGTCTTTTATATACAGGTTACTTACTTGAAAGAGTTGACTGGTTTTATTTTGGGGTCTGCTAATGACAAATCAAATACATTTCACTAAAAGCACTGAAATTTGAAAACATACTTGAGGTGGGTATAAGGAGACAAATGAAATTATTATTTGCTAATTTTGTGCCCTGCATAGTTGCAAGTAGTAACTAAGGTTGCTACACATGAATAAGAAGTTTTTTCTACCATATAGTTTGAATTTGCAATGAATTTCTACTTCTGTGTGAACTACTGTTCTTACAGCAGCTCAGGAAGAGTAGGAAAGGCTCAATGGGAAGACCTTACTAACACTTGCCACTTGGTACCAGCAATTTCTGGACTAAATAGCACTATGAAACAATGTAAATATAGTATAGATATTTATGAGCAGATGTGTATGTGTAAGGCTTATGATAATTGAGTCTAATTCTGTCGTGTTTTTGAACGTTGGTCCAAAGTCAGGCTGATGTATTTCCTAACATAAGTCTGTAATTGAAGGGATGAAAATGAGCCTGCTAGAATAGAAGATCCTGATGCTGTAAAGCCAGAGGGTTGGCTTGATGATGAACCACAGTATGTTCCAGATCCTAATGCAAAAAAACCAAAGGACTGGTAAGTGTAGATTGGTAATGTGTTTTGCAGGTAAGACTGTTCTCTGTGGCAGGTTATTAGTTGTGGACATCAGTCCAAATGTCATTGTCTTTTGAGGTAGTAAGTTGGAATGTGTAAGGTATGGCCAAATATTTGTTGGTGTGAGAGACTGCTTTAATAAAAACATGAACGTGTCCTTGCCTTTTGTTTTCTGAAGATACATAAATAAAAAAAAAAATATGAAGGTCCCCTTTGAAAGAATTTGCTACAGTTTGTTGATAACTTGAAATCATAATGTAAGTCTCAAAGGGATCTCTAAGCATCCTGGGTAGAAGTCTTTCAAACTGTCTGCAAAGGCAGGAATGTAATTGAAGTCAGTCATGCTGTGGTAGTTACGAACATGTGACCTTTAAGTAAAAAGGTATAGCACTCCTTAAAAAAAAGTGTTTATACTGTTGGGTAAAGTTCTGTGAACTGGTCAGAGTTCTGAGGTTGTTACAATACGCATAGACTCTGACTTCAGACTGCCAGTGTTTGACACTTGGTTGATCTTGAAGCAGTTGTTTGTAATTTTTTTTTCTTTCTAGGGATGAAGAAATGGATGGGGAGTGGGAAGCCCCTCAGATCCGTAATGCAAAATGTGAGACTGCACCTGGTTGTGGAGAGTGGGTGCGTCCCATGAAGAATAACCCAAAGTATAAAGGAAAATGGAGAGCACCGATGATAGATAATCCTAATTATCAGGTGATAGCCAAATTGTTGGTCATTGCTAAAAGATACAGAGATCAGCAGAGCAAGCAAGTCAAAGTAGTATATTTACTTAGGCTTTTTTGCAGTATATTATATTTTAGAATGAGTCTGAATACCCTCACTAATTTGAGATTTTTTTGCTTTTAATTTGCTTTTATTTTTCCCTTGAAGTATACTGGGAAGCAGTGCTTCTTGTATTAAAACAACTTACCTGTTTGAAGTTGCCTTTTATACAATTTTTAATTGGTACCGTTTATTTAATATAGACTTCAGAATTGTATTCTGAATTTCATTAGAGTTTTAAATGTGAGTATTTTGAATTAGTCTTTTTCTGATATTAACAAATAAAGCCTTTCAGTAAGCAGATTGCCTTACTAGTTCTATTTTAGAGGAAGTACCAATTTTAGATAATTAAATTCCCCTCCTCCCCTCCAAATAGAAGAGTTAATCAGCTGGATATTAAAGAGAGTTACTTTATATTAGTTATGGGAGTACTTGAATCTGATGACTTGGTGGGTAAAGATCCTAAGCAGGTTTGCAAACAAAATACAGTTCTAATTTGCACAGGTTATCATAAGGTTGAATTATCCTTGTCTAAAATTTTCTCTTAACACTACTGGTAAGAGTCAGTTATTACTGTAACATCTACAGTAAAAAAGAAAAAAATTACTTAGGAGGTCTGCCCTAAGGCATAAAATTGAGACCCATCTACCAAAATCCTACAGGCTATTTCCAGTTCTTTTTTAGATAGGTTAAACTCTACTGATTGTATTTTTAAATAAAAGTTATTATTATTTTGAAATCTCTTTCAGAAGTTCTTTTTTTGGTGAGCTATAGGTAATGTGATTACATTTGTTTCCATTAACAGGGAATCTGGAGCCCTCGGAAAATACCAAACCCAGACTATTTTGAAGATCTTCACCCATTCAAGATGACTGCTGTCAGTGCTATTGGTTTAGAACTCTGGTCTATGACATCCGATATCTACTTTGATAACTTCATCATATGCTCAGAAAAAGAGGTAGCAGATCGCTGGGCAGCAGATAGCTGGGGCTTGAAGAAATTAGTGGCAAGTGCTAATGAGGTATAAAGTTTACTATGTTCTTGATAGTAGAAAGTAGCTGTGGTGTTGGAAAAATTTTCTGTTCATTCTGACAGAGTATTAATTTGTCTGCAATTAATAATTTTGCTGAGTAACTCTGATAGGTTTTCTGTCTTGTAGTTTGGCTTTTTCCTTTCCCAGATGAGTATTTTCTTGAGGTTAAAAGGGTACTGCATTTTACTTAAACACCTAGTGAGAAATTGACTTCCTGTGAAGCCTTCTGCTGTTCCCATTGATACTAGAAATTCAGTACCTGACAGCAAGTGAAAGAATGATAGCTGAGTTACTTACATTCAAAGACTTGCCCTCCCACCCCTCACTGTCTATTTTCTCTTATGATTATATCCATTATTTATATTCTTTTGATGCTTCTCTCCCATGAGGAATAAATAGTCTAGTGTTTGTTTCTGTTTAATAATTTCAGGCCTTTGGCTGCTTAGGTGTGTGTTATGCAGCTCTGAAAATGTTGTATGTATATTTATAGAGCTGCGTCTGTTCTTTTTCTATGTGGGCATCTGCATTTTGTGTGTTTATTGCACTTTGACAGCCTTCCTCTCTCCTTCCCTGTGTTGTGGGATGGATCTGCCCTGCCATACGGGATCATGGGCCCTGCCTGCACTCCTGTTTCTACTTAATAATCCTCTGTTCTCTTGGATTAAATGGCAACAGCAGGCTACTGTTCTGGGGGAGAAACGATGGGTTGGTGGCAAATGTGGCCAATTCCTTACAGCTGCTTTTTGTCACAGAGTGAGCAAGTAGCAACAGCATATTTGTCCAGGCAAGCAAGAAAGCTATCTCTTCACACAACCTTGCCCTTTTCCAAAATGTTTGGGTTTATGTCTGAACCTGTATCTGTACCTGTACATACAATGGCAAAAAATTGCTTTGAGTCCTCTTGTTCCACTGTGCCCTCTCAAAACTTCCTTAGCTCCTGATGTACCTCTTACAGAGATGAACCAGGCACTTGCTTAAGTGTCTCTACTCTGTAAGTCAGAGCTGTACTGGGAGGACAATTTACTCCCTGAATAATTGGCTGTCAGAGCAGAGAAGGTGGTAGTACAAGTGGAGCTAGCATTATTCCTCAGGAGCTGCTGCCCTCAGGCTCTTGATGCTTTGGGAAGTTTCAGCTGAGTTGGTACAGTGTGCATGTATTACTTTACAGAGCTGAGTTGTGGCTGGTCTGGTGTGTTCGGAGTTCTACATCTGTTCTTTACCTGCCCCTTGCAATTTGTAGAGTTGTTGCTTTTCTAGTATTGAAATGCAATACTGCAATGCAATATTGCTTTAGTCATTAAAAAGCAAAGGTAAAGAAGGGTTTTGGACAATATAAATGCATACAGTACACTTTATAAACTTATTTAATTGAAGAGAGGGATATAAATGCATTTTTTTTTTTTTTAATACAGCCTGGTATGTTTAGTCAATTGGTGACTGCTGCAGAAGAACACCCATGGCTCTGGGTTCTTTACATCTTGACTTTAGCTCTCCCCATTGGTCTAAGTGTGTTGTTCTGCTGGCCAGGAAAGGTTAGTGAAATTTACTATATTTCTATTTGGTTTTATTCTTAATACTTTATTTGGAAATTTGAGCATCTGTGCAACAATGTGCCCTTTTAATATGCCATTGGTATTATTTAGTTGTTACAGTGCCTGTTTAATTCTTAATTGGCGTTGAAATATAAATATATTTTTAATCTTTTATAGAAATCAGATGAATATATTGACTTCAAAAAGCCTGATGTATTTAAGCAAATTACAAAGGGAGAACTAAAAGAAGAGACAGAGGACTTCGAAGATGATGAACTAGAAGAAGAAAAAGAAAATGAAGATACTGATGAAGATGGTAAGATGAGTAAGAGTGTGTCAGCTTGCAGTTTGGTTAAAGACATGAATAGAACTAGTTCATGGATTGTATTGACAATAATTACAACCTGTTTTCTTAGACTATGTGAAATGTGCCTTGCTCTAAGCCTTTTTTCATCTTTGATAACTTTCAGTGAGTGGCATCTCATGGCTAATAGCTCTGATAAATATAAGCAGAAAGTAAGGCTCTACTCAGCATTTCTTCACTTTCAAGAAATGAACATGCTTCCAGCACTATTTGTTATGTTTGTAGACAGTGATACATATGTTGTCCCTTCTAAATATTTCATATATTGAGCACATTTTAATTATTCAGATACAAGTACCTGAAGCAGTTAAACTCACTTTATTCTTTAAAATGTGTCTGGAATAGCTTCAAGTCTCTAGGATAAATCTGTTTATAACTCTCTGTGAGGGTTATACTGTTCTGTTGGTCACTGATTTGAGTTATTCTTCTAACACTTGAAAATACTTTAAATATTGAAGTCTGCAGCTTCCTTTATGTTGCTTTTTAGCAACCTATTGCACTCCTGCAGAGGTGTGTCCTACTGCCCAGGGGAGAAATTAATGACTCAGTAGGTTGAGCTGTACTGCAGCATCCAAGGATAAAATCACCCCATGTTACTGTATCAAACATTACTGGGTGCTACTTAGCTATAGCTTTGAGGTGCTGTTAGAGTTTCCTTGAGTCTATATCATTAATAAAAACCAAAGCACCTAACTTAAAATGCATTATCTTGATTTTGATGGGAAAATTTTTAGCTTCAGAACTCTGCAAGATTCTGCTTCTTATTTCACTCTTCCTTGGTGAGAACAAATAAAGTGACAAGGGACTGGCATGGATAATTAGAGACATAGCAGACATTCATGTTTTGTTGGGGTTTTTGTCTTTGTACGACATCACTTTGTATTACTGACTGAAACTTGGTGGGTTTTGGCTGTCTTTGCACCATGTATAAGTGTTGATGGCTTCTGTCTGTACTACTTGGAAGTTCACTCATCAGCAGTTCCCATGCCATTACTGATAGAATTGAGTACGTATTTGGCACAGTGCTTGCCACATCAAACTTATTCTATTTGCCTAGCTATTGGAGAGCCTAACCAAGGCACTTAATTATTCTGGTTATGCTACATTCTTTACTTTAGCTTAAATTGTGGGTACATGATTTCAGTGTTGTATCTTCCTATATTTTCCTTTTGATCTTACTCTGCTCGACCTGTTTTTTGACTCTCTTTTATTCTACCCAGTCTTGATACAGATGATAGTTTGTACCTAATATGCTGCTGTTGCAAGGCTGCCATTCCTCAATTCCAATATTCAGTTAATTTATTTAATTACAACACATCACTTAATAAATAATACCTTAAAATGTGTGTTTCAATGTTAGAAATAAGACCCGGGCAATTGCAGAGGAACATTGTTCAGCTCCTACAGCTTTCTTAAATTGTACTTGGAACAGCTGTTCATGGTGTTGCAAAGGTAGGTTCTATTTTAGACCTTTACTTTTAGTTACTAAACAGAACACTGAGTAAAACTAACCTAGCTTGCTTTTGTATGACTAATCCAGGGTTTTCAAATAAATTCTAGGCTTCAGAGGGAAGGATTACACTTTGCTGTCACAGGACTTCATTGTTTCTTGCTTTAAGAAGAATTGCTTAGCTTCCTTCAGCTTCCTGCCACTTTTTATACTTGCAGGTTGAAATCTTCCCTTTTTTTCTATTGCTCTTTTGCCTCTTTGTGTCTGAAATCATTAGAGAATTTGTCTTCTGTCTCCTTTTCCTGATTCTTTTTACTACAGAGAGAAGAGAAATAGAAGAGACAAAAAGAGAATTTAAAAGGGATAATACAAAGAAGATGGGAAGGGAGGCTTCTGTTTCAGGTACTGGGAAAGGGAAGCAATTTGGTCCAGGACTTGCAAGTGGGTCTCTCCTGTTTTCTTCCCTCTGCTTCCTTGTTGATGGTAGAACTTGAAGATGGTGGATGCCAGCTTCCATCAGGTGCAGATACAATTTTCCTCTGAGATTTCTCTCTATGGTATCTGTAGTCATAAATATTTTCCACTACTATCTTTGTCACCTCATGATTTTTACGGTTCCTTCACAGTCATTACCTCCTCCTTCAGTTTTTTTGGAGTTGAAGGCAATGGGGTTTTGAACTGTAGAATGCTGAGTGACTTGAAATCCACATTGTATCATGGGGCTATTTTAAAAAGAAAGAAAAAGGAAGTGTGGCATAACAGCAAATTTTAGGAACACTTGGTGATTTCTTTAACACCAGCGACAATGAGTTGCTGACAGAGTATTTATTGAAGGGCATTGTCCATGGGATTTACTGGGTTTTTTTTGTTCCATGTTAATTTTTGTGGCATTGTCTATTTGTCTGCTTTGTGTCCTTGCTTTTGTTGACCTGTAGAAAGATATTGCAGGAAGTAAAAGAATGTTGGCACAAAATGAAATTTCAGGGCCACAGTCTGAATCTTATTTGTCAAGTTCTAAATTTATTTATATGAAATAATGGTTAACTTACTGTATGATTAAATTTAAAATAATAATTTTAAATAGTACAGTTTTTCAGTTCTGGGTTCTACAGCTTCTGATGTATTTTTGATTTGGGGTTTTTTCCTCTCTGTTGAAGTTTGTACTTATGGGAGGAGCTGGATTTGCATAATTTATCATTTCCAATTTCTTTATTACAATATGACTAAAGGCTTTGTGAATTTCTGTCAAGTTCTTCTATTAAGGGCTTATTTTTAGGACAGATATCTTCGTCTACATCTTTCTTAAACCATGATGTTCATTATTTGGTCATATTTCTCCTTTTGATACTAGAGACACAGTAGGCATGAATCAGGTATATTGACATACAGCAAAACTAACTTCCTCATTCATAACAGTTAGTGAAGCTCTGTTTGACTCAATATATAGCTATATTGCAGCCAAAGTTCTTGGTACTTTTACAGTAAAAATATTTTACTTCCTTAATTTGAGACAGAAGTATCAAATATTTTAACAAATTAGGTATTTCTAGATTTTCATCACCAAGAATCAGGAGAGTCTCATCTGCTATGTGACTAAATTCTTCATCTGTAGGGATACTTTTGTTTCAGTTCAACTCAGATGCAACAGTAAGAATTTGGTGTGGGTGCAGATTTTAGATATTTGTTTTTGGTTTTTTCCTGTTTTTTTCACACCTGAGCAGTGCTCATGAGATGTAGGTGTGACCTGACAAGGAGAGAATTGAGCACTACTTCACTGCTGGTTTTAACTAAGCCACCGGCGGACCACTAAGTTGCACAATGTCGATGATTATCCTTTCTGTCAGATTTAGGATTTGTTTACACTTGATAGAAAGTATCATAAAGAGTACTGGTAGTGGAGTAGTAATGCAAGCTGGACGTATGTCAGAAGAATTCCCTGCTGAAAAGGGGAATACCCTTAGGATGTAGGTGTCTCCCATGCTGGATGACTGATAACTGTAATACTTTACTTCCACATCTAAATCAGAATTTTGTCAGTTGTCCTATTTTAGACTCTGCTCTCAAAACTGTCCAATACAATAGCTAGTTTTAAAGTAAAGTAAATCAAGTCCTTTAAGTCAGTAACAAGTCTGAAGATAGTATGGGCTATTATGAAAAGAGGCAAAGTTGGAGCTGTTAAAATTGGTTGTTAAATCTGGCAGTTATCACTTTCTATTAATTCATGAGAATTCTTCTCTCTGTATCATAGAGATGTTTTTATAGGTTATTCTAAACAAGCAGTTCCTTCTAGGACTGAAATTGGCTTATTTTCCTTACTACTATGTCTGGTTGTAGTGTATTTGTAATATAGTTGTGTTTATGATGTAAAATTAACTTTTGCTGCAGAAGTTGACGGTGAAGGTGGTGAAGATATTTATGATGCTGAAGAAGAAAATGAAGTTCCAGATGGAAGTCCAGGTGATTGGTCAAATAAATCTGATTCAGAAGATGAGGTAAGTTTGCATTTTTCCCTACTTTCTTGCCATTGTCTGACATCATACTTCTAACTAAGCTCGGTTACCTACAAGTGTTTTTCTTCTGTTGAGCCATAAAACAAATCATGAATTAGAAATATGCTTTCCTTTGAATCTGACACCTCAAATGCTCTGCATAAATACAGGTATAGTATGGAAGTGATCAGGCAGCTCCCTACACGTGAAATATTTTTACAGGAGTATAGTTCTTAACGGATTATTAAATTTGGATGCTGCAGCAAATTGGTCAGTTTTCATTGTGCTTCTTGACTGGTAGAATATGTGCTTCCAAGTGAAAAGCCTTTTCTTGAGATCTAGAAAAACTTTAAGTTTTTCAGTTACATTTTGACGTTTTTTATTCCAAAATAAGGTGTTAAGCAAAATGAGAATACAGTTTTTGAACACAGCATCTGCAGTTTTGTTTTTCTTGTGCAGATTGATCCAGTCTGCCAGATACTCTACAAAATTATTTTCATTAAATATCACTGTAGAATGGAATTTGTTTGTTTGTCAGCTACTCATTATTCCTTAATTTAGAAACTGGTAGTGTCTGAAACACTTTAGATCCACCCATTTATCATCTTGTGCTTGTCACTCCCTAAATGAGTCACTTTCCAGCTTAAGGGAGTTGTTTAGTGTAATGTTAATTCTTTTTCATGTAAAACTTTTCTAGGAAACTGTACCTGGCATGAGGTTGTGTTGTTTCAGTACTGGAAGTCTTTGTTAATTTCCCCTTATTGTGTACTTTTCTCTTGTTCCTGTAAGAAGTTTTCTTTTCCTTGTACATTTACCCAGGAATACAGTATCTGCTAGGATTCACATGACTCCTTGTGAAAGTTACAGCAAGCTCTGCATGTGTCTGTGGCATTACACAGTGTCACAGTGAGGGCATGGCTTGCTTTTCTTTGAGTGTTTTCAGTGTGTAGGTGTTTCTGTTGGGAGTTGTCTGGAACACATAATGTACCCCATGTCCTCACTCAGGCTGGGCCACATTCTGTCAGCTGTTCCTTCTAAAGGAGGTGCCTGCCATTACGTGATGCAGGAAAGTGAGGAAGCAATGCATGGTATGAGAATGGATTTCACACTGGAAATGCTTTTCCTGTGCCTCTGTAAGCCCATTGCTTTTAAACTGGGAACACCACATCTGATTTAAGGACAGTTTGCTCTATTTGTAACTCTCTAAAGGGAACAGTTAAAATGTTTTAAATGCATCTTACTTCAGAAGTGGAAATAAAATTAGCAAAATGTGAACTTCAAGGATGTTGGTATAGCAATTTAAAAGTCACTGCTTTTAAACCAGCAAAGACATGGGCAAAACCAAATTTCTGACATCGGTTTAAAGATACTATTCTCTTCTTTCTGAATATAGAAATGAAAAGTCTTCTACCCACTTTATTAATCATTAGATTAGTAGTGTGGAAAAAATGTCCCATCACTTAAGTGCTGCATGTAGTGATAAAATGACTGGGGAATTCAGGAAGAGAAAAAATGTAGTATGCCAGTTTCAATAATTAAAATAAGCTTAAAATGTTAATGCTGAATTTTTCTTTTCCAGAAGAAAGAAGCTGATGAAGAAATGGGAGATCGTCCACTGAAATCAGTGCGCAAAAGAAGAGTACGAAAGGACTGAGTTATTTCCAGCTGGTGTTTGCAGGTCTAGAGACATTGACGGTAACTTCTGGTGTGTCACTTCAGTGAGCCTGGCAAATTCCTGAGCTTTGATGGGAAAAGGAGGGGCTCATTGCTGTTTAACCTCCTATTTTAATTATCTGGCCTCTTTAACCATCCCAAACGTCCTCAATTCCCTTTTTTAAGGATAAATGCTATCTGTGAATAGTTAGCTGGTATTTAAAATTCAAAATAAAAGGGAAATTACCAGTTGATGAACTGATTTTTAGGTGAAGATTCTTAAGATTTGAAGTTTCTTAGAAATTAGTATTAGTTGGAGATAAACTTACTCGAAATATTTTTTTAAATAAATGCATTATAATACTTTTGTAGCTCTAGCACGAAATAAGCTGTTTACAGTTTTCAGCTTAAAGATGATGGTAGGTATAGATGTAGCATCTATAGCAGTTCACATTGCTATGAGAAAAGGTATTATTTTCTGTGCAGAGCTAAATGCAATAATTGTTTTTGTATGATGATTTTGTGCTAGCAACAATTTTTATTGTAAATTATTTATTTTAGCTGATCTTGTTACATGGGTCACCTGTTCACTTTAGGCATTGGCTGCAGTAATTTATTTTCAAGATATATTTTAAAATAGAATACAAGTGGTAATTGATGTTATTTGTTTTACTCTTGAATGCAGGTATCAAATCTGCAGGTCATATACAGATGATTTTTTCAAACTTTTATAGTTCTCATGTTCTAAACCAGAGTGGTATAACCTGTTTCTAGAATACTTGCTAAGTATATATTGTCACCTAAAAATATTTATTAATTCTTGCTTAATATGAAATTTATTAATATAGATAAGACTTTTTGATGGATTAAGTTTTTTACGATGTGAGTAACTTGAGTATTCTCATAGTTTAAATAAACTGCTTATTGTAAAGAAACATTGTTTCATTGAATTTCGGCTGTATATTAAACAATAAAATTTCAGTCACCAGAAATCTCTTGCTGCTTGGCAGCTGCCTGTAGTAGTAGTAGAATGTGTAAATGCTAAATTTTTTATTACAGTAGAAACACATTAATTCATAAGGAATCTAATAGATTTTCTTGTGCCTGTCATAAAATTTGTCCACTTTAAAAAGAAGTATTTTCACAGCAGATTCCATGGAAGTCTCTTAAGAAATGAATGCTTAACCCTAATGAAGAAGCCAGTGTCCTCAAGTGCTTGTTTTGAAGTGTTCAAATGTTAATTATACTTGACTTCTATGTGGTGTGATTTATATGGAAATATCTCTAGGTTTTTGTTTAATTTGGGGCTTTTTGTGTTTTGTTTTTTTTTTTTTAAGTAAACTGCAAGTTTCCACCTCTTTATTTAGAGCTTCCACGTTAAAGGTAAGAAGTGAAGACTCCAGATTACTCCTCAGCAATAGATAGAATCTTTCACCAGTGTAGTATCCTGCTGACAACTGTTACTGTGAGCTGTTGGATCTCACCTTTCAAATGAGTTATATCTAAGTCTGATAGAAGTCCTTTGGAATTGTTACAGCATTTGGGTGTCCTGGGGGTCTGGTTTGTTTGCCTAGGGGTTTTGGAGGGTTTTTTTTCCTCTGATATGTGATAGTTACTCTAGTTACTGTAGTTTCTTTGATGTGATTTACTTACTCCGATCACCCCATGGGGATGCTCATCTTCTCTTAGGGTTTTGAACCTAAAGTTCCCGTAAAGCATTGGTTGATTTCCCATCAGCTTTGATCACCTAGAATCTAGAGATAGCATACATCTTTCTGCACATCAACTTACTCAGATCTAGATTTATGCTGGTAATTGGAGCAGAAATACCAGAGATATTGAAGATTTAAGGCTCTAGAGGTAGAAAGTGAGGCAAAAGGGCAGCCCCTCTTCATTGATACAATGCGACAGTGAGATTTCACCCACACTTCCTGTGCAGTGTCTTATTTTTATCTGAACACGTATTTCAGTAAACATACTTCATCTTTCTATCATGGTTGCTTGAAAGAGCTTTAAAATTAACAAAAATAATGATTTTCAGTTTCAGCATGTCTTGCTATTAAAACTGTCAGTCACCTTTGGAACTCTGTAAGTAACAAGTCCTCTACAAGCCTGTGCTCCCCCTCTGACAATGTTGTAGCTTGGTAAAAGAGTTCTTACTGAGGATGCCAGATCCCTGACTGAACACTTCATATGCAGGGAAAGCCAAGTAGTACTGAGGCCCTTTTATTTAGTTACAGTTGAAGCTACTCTTCAGTTGGCATCTACATTCATGAAGGTCTGATGTAGTCATAATTCTGGGTTCTGTCTAATGTAAAGCTCACTAAAAGTGTAGGAAAAAGTAACATTTCTATCTTGACTTAACAGTCTCCCAGATGGAAAACAGTAAGTTTCAGTTTTTTTACAACAGTGCATGCAGTCTAGCATCCTTTTACTTTAGCAAGAACAGAAAAGTACACAGAAATTTAAGATGGATGACTGAAAATAGAAGTGAGTCAGGAACTGAAGCTTTGTTAAGACTAGATTCATTAACTCGGGTTTAATCTCAATTACATCTAGTTTTTCAGACAATCCAGCTATGTGAAAACCTTTAAGAGGATTACTAACCCTACTCTTTTTCACCTTTTGACTACAGATAGTTACGAGAAGTTTTAGGGTTTACAAATGTTAAACCAAACTAATTGAGACAAATGAAAAGTTTTTATTTGGTGTAAAGTCAGAAATACAACATCTTTAAAATGTTCGTAAGTTAAATGAAGGCCACAGTTGTGGGATGCAAAATGGCATGGAGATGAAATAACTGCTGTATATACACTGATGGATAAAATACCACTATCCAATCTACAATACAAAACCATGATTTTAAAATTACCTTATATTGGGAATTGCTGAAGTCTATCAAGCGCATGCTGTGTTACCAGGTGATCTACCGTGCAGATGGAGATGGCAGTGACATGGTTTTAAAGCTACGATGGCTGTAATGCAATCTTTAGAAGTCAACTGCTTGCTGTGATTTTTCTTCCTTTAATGCTCAAATTCTGGACTAGCCATGTGATCTACTCTACCTGCTAGCAATTCTTAAGATTAATTTAGAGTTGCAGTAATGTGAGTAAGTATTCTAAGATTAGAATTAATTTTAGGTGTTGACAATGATCCCATGACACAAATGGTGTTATCCATTTTTCTCGAGTTTCTTGACCCAGACTTGTAAACAGCCCTCAAGACTGTACTATTAGTGCTTTGTTTGCAGTCTTTTGACTTTTGTTTAGTGTCTTTTGATTCCGGTGAGCATTGTACAACCATTTTAAATGTGGAGAAATGGGAAACCGCACCTTTGGGAGGGGGAAACCTCACAATGTCAACTTACTCTTGAGACATAGCAGTACCTAGCTGCTAAGAAACCTGGGATTTGAGAGGGATTTATTATTCTATTACACTGACTCATTCACACCATGCTTGAGAGAGATCCTTGAAGTAGTGATTTCCTTTTAAAAGGTCAAGTAAAATGGCTTCATTACTCAAGCGACAACTCAGTCCTAGCCAACATCCATGAGTAAATATGCAGTGCTGTTGTAGGGCAAGATGAAACAGATGCAATTAAGTACTGCTGAAATTTACATACTTGTTTATATTTCAGCTTCTGCTCTCCCTTAATACTGATTATGCTGGATATGCTGCCTCTGTGGGAAGTTCTCAGATGCATAATCTGGGCTGAGCTCCCCTACAAAACCTAACATCTGAGACAGGAAAAAAACAGCACCTTAATAATAGGCATTGCTGAGAGCAGCACAATTTTGAGAGGCAAAATCTACCTTTGTTCCACTGCATCCTTCTGCCTTAGATGTTTCTATGCAGTGCCTCAAGAAGCACATCACAAGTATAGGCTGTAAGGCAGGAAAACAGCTGCCCTGAGGCCTGAAGCAAAGACAAGTTTGGCATTGCAGGAGGAAAGTAAAGGGCAGGAAGAGAAAGACTTGTTCTCAGTTCCTCACTGCAGGCTGTTCACGAGCATGAGGAGCATTGCTGACCTCTTTCTGCAAAGTTTATCACTCAGGTTCTTACTTAACTTTTCATCACACAACACGACTTCAGGAAGATCATACATTGTGATGATGTGCCCGGGCATTCTTCAGGGAAATGGGAAAGTAGCAATAGTTGCAAGTGTACATATTACATCTGATACCGCATCAGCTTGCTACTTCCCTGATAAGTTGCTTACCCTTGTTGCTCCTCTTACCTTCCCCCTTCCCAAAACATCTGAGGTGTTTTTCTGTAAGTAAGCCCTGCAAAAAATGTCATCCTGTTCCTACTTCACAGAAATGCTTAACTGGTTTATAGGTTTTTGTTTTGTTTTGCAGAACTATGAACAGTACTATGCAGTAAATACATCTCAGGTGCAAAAATGTGATGCAATAAACTTTTGAATATTTTTATCAAATGGGGTTTCAACACAATACTGTAACACAATATAGTCAAGAAATCTGCCCTAAGACCTCAGAGTACCAACAGGCCTTTGTTTAACCTGACAAACTAATCTTTTTTACAAGATATGGTCATTTTTAAATACAAAGATTTTGTAATTATCTACACTACATTTGCACATTGCTCAATCTTAATAAACAGTCTTCTTTCTCCTGTTCATGATAATGCTCTTAATTCAGTATACTACCGAAGTCTATAATCTTTGAGAATCCAGTAAGCCACAAACTAAAGTATTTTAGCTTATGTAGCCTATGCCAGTTAAAAGGAAACAAAAAACCCCCCAGCAGCAATACAATGACATAATCTGTGAATCAACTCTTACTTCCTTTTGCTTTTTGTGTCAGTTGTTTGGAAAACACTAGATGCTGACATCAGATTTTCTATATACTGTCCAAGAACTTGGTTTTCTGATTTCAGTTTCAAGTTTTCTTCCTTAACAGCATCTACTCGTGCTGAGAGATCTGCGAATGTGATATTACAAGAAAAATATTAGATACTATTGCATACAATAATGAATATGTTCTATGGGCCTACAGCAGACTAGTCACACCTTTAATCCAGAAAACATTACCATAGGGTGTTATGTTATAAAATGTTCTCCTACTTATGTTTTACCTAAAGGCCATTTTTCCTCTATTATTTTGTAGTACAGTGTTTTGACAAACTTGTTAAGCTTACTGCTGGTCTGTAAGTTCATTACTTTCTTGAATTTTTGAATTAAGCTATTGCAAGCTAAATTTCTTGAAAACAGTTCAGTGATGAGCAGCCTCAGATGTGTGTCTTCTAATAAGCATAGACATATTAGCTGTATCGCCCATTCTACTTGCTGTGTATTACCAAGGTCAAGCAAACGTAATGTTGCATAAACCTGAAGAAAAATACTATTTCCAAGACCCTGATTTTGTACCTTCAGCTTGATTAAGTGACATTCTTCTGGACACTGTGACTAAGGGCAGAACAGTCAGGTTCTCTTCTTTTGCTTATTACTATGTACTTGAAAAAATCTGGTATGTCAAGCTGCTAACCTTCAAGCGTGTGCTGCAGTTCCAAAACTTGATTAATAAGCCGTGTTTTCTCTTCTAATTCCACCTGATTCTCAGCCTCAACAGCTGCAATAAAACACGAGAGTTTTAATGCAACCTCTGTTAGCAGTTAGAAATTATACTAAATAGAATAACAATGAAGAACAAGAACATTAAGAATTTATACCATCCAGATCGGCATTCATCATTGTGGTAGGAGCTCTTTGCAGTTTTGAAGAGAGTTTTCTTGAGCGGTACTCTGCTTAAAGAAAAACAAAAAACAAGGGAGGCAGCAATTATTAGAACATTCATTATGTTTGAATTTTAGATGTATTTTTCAAATTCTGAAGGGTCAGTGCTTTAGCCTAAGGCAAAGCAACCTTTTTCACCATTCTTTAATTATTTTTCCTAGGCCTCATGCCATACATACCTATGGTTCGTTGAGTAACTACGCCTGTTTACAAAAATAACTGATCTAGATTACTGAA